TAGATTAAGCACTAATTAGGCACAGATTAGCGTCTAAAGCCCTGTTGCCTTCCTGTGTCCTCTGTGAGAGGTGCATCCCTCCTCTCTTTTTCTAGTCAATTTTGTTGTCTAAGTGGGGAGACGAGGTGCTGAATGCAAACAGGTGCCCCCCCCCCTCCCAGTTTCTCCTACTGTTTACAGGGGGATCAGCAATGCTTGCATATAATTTTCTACCTTTATCTGGAAGCTCCTAGGGACTCAACAATTGGTCTGTTGGTGATGAGAGACCTGAATCTTCAGCACTGTCTGTTTATCTCTGAATCATAACAGGCAGGAAGGGCTGACAACTGTCCCCTTTATGCACAATTGGCCATAAACAATCCCTGAAATGTTTCCGCCTTTTCACACCCATTTATTTATGGATCTGTATTTTTCTTATTCTCGACACAATAATAATATGAATAATAATCTTTATTTATATAGAACTTGTCATACATGAAATGCAGCTCAAATGATTCACATTTGGGGTTAAAATAAGAACCACAGACAGAGAAGCTAAATAAAATGTGCGACTAACGTACAGGTCAAAGAAATTCTAGGAAGAAGGAATGAACATAAAAACAAAATAAATAAGCAAAAAAATAGTAATACATCTATAAAAAAAGAAAATAAAACAACAATAGAATACATGAATAGGAATACAATAAAAAATAAAAATAAAAAGGAATGAAAAGGTCAAAAGATATAAAAGTATAAGCTAGTAAAAATGTTATGGAATGTTATGGATTTATCAACTTGATAAGAATCTAATGTCTTCTATGTACTGCCTGATGTTTTTCTGGGTTTTAATGCCTGGCCCTAATGCTTGATCTGCCCTAAAGTAATCAAGTAATAAAGTCATCAATAATCATGACATAGTCATATTTCTTCAGTGTCATTCTTTGACTAAGAAGTCATTTGAATGGACATATTTGGTTTTTCACAATGTAAACCAGAGCTTGACATCAGTCACAGAAAAATCTGTAGGTTCTTTTTTTGGAAAGTAACACGAGTTTTCTTATAGTAAGTAAAAATGTAGCTAACTGTTTCTAGCAATTCTGATTTGTTTGTATGTATTGCATGTAGGATCAGAAAATTGGTGCAAATGATTAGCATTCCAGTGTTAGATAACCTAGCATTGGTTTCACGGCTGTTTAACGGTTTACAAGATGCTCTGGGCAGAAACAATGAGCTCGAATTAAAGAGCTGTCTGGTTACCCCAATCTCTCTCCCCTGAGGCCGAATCCAGTATTAACAGTGATTGAATAATTTAATTTACAGACCCAGTTTTATTCATCCAACCAGGAGTGTTGATGAATTCCAACACTTACCATTTATTTAAGCCACAGAGAGCGACCGAGAGAGAGTGAAACAACCACATTTATATTGCTGGAGGTAGCTATACGTTTCTGCAGTGCGCAAAATGTTACATGATGCTAATTTCCCTTTTAACAGAACAACACTGTCATTTTAACTTTCAGACATTCATAAATAACGTTAATACTGCAAAATATTCTGATTATTATTGTCGGATACTCCGTGAAAGGATACACTTAATTTGCATCATGTAAGTTTCATCTTGCTCTTAGAAAACTCTCCAACCTTTTGGCGTGAACACTGGAACATCTGAATGGGATTTTCTGAAGGAGATCAGGCAGCATCAAAGCCAGAAATCCATCACCGCTGGGAATCACAACACTAGCATGAAACACGCGAATAGGGTTCATTTCCTCTGTTCATTTTCTGAGCGACAGAAAATGTCTGTCCAGACACTTGGAGTGAAATAACTGCATCCTCGGTGACTTTGTGCATTGGCAGTGGGTCTTTCTGTAGGGAGGATGTTAGCATCTTTCGGATGTTGACGATTTTAACAATTAGACTAGTGAAGCATTTCTTCAGTCCATTCAGGACATACATCTTACTCAGGACTGATGCCCTTTTTATTTAAGCGGTTAGCATTGCCTAATGGCAGGACTGGCATTTCATTAGTTTCCGATCCTGCTAGACACCGCGCATGCCCAGCAGCGCAGGGGCAATCGCTCATAAAGACACCCTATTGATCCGGGATGACAGTGGTCTCTATGGCGCCTCATATGGTGGCCTGAGAAATGAAAGGGAAATCCAGTTTGACAGGAGTGAGCATGCAGCCGCGATATAGATGCCAGTTTAAAAGCAAGTGGAAAAAAAAACTTTATGAAAAACTTCTTTTCCCGTGCACGTTTTACATTAAGTTTTTTTTTTTTTTTACATAAATCTCTGATCCAGAAACACTTATTAAATACTTAATTACTCAACTGCAGCAGAAGGGACACTATCTGCGCATAAATAACCACCATTCCGAAGAGCCAAGTAACAAATACCATCAGCAGTTTGATTTGTACTGCTCTCTCTCTCTCTCTTTCTCTCCCAACTTTTTGATTTAGAATTGATGTATTAGTTTATATGAAATTCCCATAAGGCCGTCCTCATGTTCTTTTTCAGTAAGAGAATCTCGAAGCCTGGATGCTGCTTTGTCATCTCTCGAGTCTCTATCCACAGCTCTTTTGAATACGTGACAGCGGGGTTTAATACATTGTTATATAGTTTCAGTTCTTATCCTATGCAGGTACTAAAATTGAGCCTCTGTTTCATGGATAATATAATCCAGTACTCTTTTAAACCCAAATAATCTCATTAATCTTCTATTTCCAAGAATTGTATAAACACTGCTGGGCGATTTTTGTAAATGGAATTCATGTTATTGTTCAGTGAAAAAAATATGCGCATGCAGGTTTGGGCTCGCTGGTATTTAGAATTACGGATTAGTAAGGAAATAGCGCCACCTACCGAAGAAAACATTAGTCGCTCTTTTTCATTACACTTGAAATACTCGTGAATACTGGCTTTCAAGTCTGTATCTTTAGATCCTGACTTTGTGACCATTATTTTGTTGGCCTATTCGTTACACTATCGATGCATACTGTCACCTATGGCTTACTCACTGGGTGCTTTGGGTGGGGATGCTATAAAGTGCTTTGAGACAATGTAATGTTGTGATAACGCGCTATACAAAAATAAATTTGTTGTTGTTGTCGCATACTTTACTTTTTTTAAGTGAAGGTTTGTTCCAATTTGGACACGTAGTGTTAAATATCTGTTCTCTAATGCAGAACATTTTCTGTCAACTTTTACTGGCAGATGAATATTGCAATACACCGGATATTTAAGTTCTAAATATGTTCATGATGTCCCTCATAAAAACATACTACTGAGAATTTATATTCATTGTTATCGGGAAGATAGTACTGATTTATTTTTTAATATTTTGGGTTTGGGACATTTGGTTGGGTTTCAGAGAACCAGGATGAGTGATTCTTTCAGCGTTTAGGCTGAGGACTATATTCAAGCTTACTATGAAGAGGACAGTAATTTCTGGGGAATTCATTAGTTTCAGAAAGGGGAAACATTTATTTTAATTTTAGACTGCCTCAGTAAAATGGAATAACTCTCAAGTACAGTCTTTGCAATGGCTGAAATACATAACTACATTAAAAAAATGTTAATGAAATTCTACTCTGTAGTGACACATACATGATGAAATATGGGTTATTGTAATGATTGGCTACTGAAGTACTGAGATGTAGTTATACTGGATTAAAGAAATATTTGGCCATTATAAATGATAAACCATGATAATGAAAACCCTGGTTTTTTTAAACACTTACAAAGTACGGGTTTTTAGCAATGTAGTAATACAGGTGTACGGTACTACCTGGTTCCAGACACTGCACTAATGATGCAAACGGTCAGAGTAAGAGTGGGTCTGTAAAATACAGGAGCCATAATTAAGACGTTTTAAATATTCAAACAGCCTACATTGGAAAGGTTTTAAGAAATAATTGAGTCAAATTCTATTTTTAAGAAGTATTAAGGACAGAAGGGTCCACTCTTTTGTGATTAATATTTCCTTCCAATAGACATTTAGAGAAGTGAAAGACCAATTAATTTCATTTTTATTCTCCTTTCTTCACCTCCTGTACAGTATCCCGTTTCCTGCCACGTGCTCTGAGCGATTATCTTAAGTATTACGACAAAGTACTCCTACCTTGCTTGAATATTATATAAGTATGATATATTATACGTTTTACGGTAAAAAAAAATAATACAATGCTTATGTCCAAACGGGCTGTAGACTGATGTATAAATGTACAGTATATGTGCTTAAATATTGTTTATATACTTGAGACCCTCACACCCATTGTACCTATTTTCCCATTACTCTCAGTACCCACTATAATGTATAAAAGCAAAATTTGGAAAATCAAATGTACACATCATGTCTTGAATTTTTTTCATATATAATTTCTGTATGTGTATGTAAGACAGCACATTGCAAAATGTAATTATCTGACTATAACGTGGTATTTTTCTGCCGTGTACGTACTGCACGGTAAAACATGTAATTTTGTATTTTCCATCCACGTCGTCCTGTAATATTTTCATGGCTTAACATGCAGTCATTCACATACCTTCACCCAAATATAACATGCAGCACGGTGCCGTAAACATCGCTCTATACACGTTCTGAGCAATAGCAACACCTACTGGGCACTTAAACTTTTATGAACACGTACAACACGTGCAACGTAAGAAAAAAGTGGGTAATTGTTTCGCTATTAGTTTTACTATATTTTAATTCTGGTTTTAAAAATAATTAATTTAGGGTTGAACATGGACGTCGTCAGGCCTGTTTTAGGGGGGCTGAAGTGACCTTAGACAAGACGATATGCTTATGGAAAAATCTAAATCTTTACAAAGAATGATACAAAAAAGGCAAGCATATAAAACACTAAACCCGGAGCAGAAGCCGAGGAGCGTCTTTTGCTGACCGATTACCTGAAATGGATTGGTAGCTGAATCTCCCAGACAGGAGTGTGCTCTAAAGAAATGCTAAACATCATGCATTCGTCACAACTGACCTCATTACAAAACCACAGCGAAAGCATGTTGACTTCCCTTGAGATTTCCCGGCTAGATGCATATCAGAAAAAAATCTCATCTGTGTTCGAAGACACTTTGTTCTTTATTAAAGCAACCATTTTAACTACATAATATAAGCTTTAAAATTTATACCACACATTGAAAAGTAATTATACTTAACTGGATAATACAGACCCTTATATTTTGCACTTGTATTGATTCGGGTTGACTGCGTTCTCTAGACTTTGTTTCCAGAAAGAAAGAGAAATGTATATTTTACTTTTTTGTATTATCATTTTTGGCAAAATGGCCATAACTATAAATCTTCGCATACTGGAGCAGCAAAACTGTTCGCAGGAGGTAAGAATCTATACTGTTCTTTAAAAATAGTTCGTCATTAAATTAAAACCGATTGTATTGAGTATCTTTCATATACTAACTAGGAAGATAATACTCGTTTTGTTTTGCTTTCGATTTCATGGTTACCGTTATTGATAGTATTCATAAGACAGATTGGGGGACAGGTTTAATGTTATGTTGAACTGGTTTATGTCTTATTGACCCCCCATTTCTAAGTTGGTTTTCTAGGGGTTAAAATCTTGGTGGCGGGGGAGGGGCACAGAATCATGGGTGTTTTTTCTAGAATTTATTCAGCAACAAAAAAAAAAAAAAACGTTTTTTTCAGGGCCTGAGATGCAGCGTAAATATAAGCCTAAGTAAGTATTTTTTACATATATTACGTTATCCGTTTCACAGTGACATCAAATACATATAGATATGTAGATGGTGACAGTTTTAATACAGACATGCATCTTCCAACTGCGTGTCTTCAACAGTAGGGGGTTCCCGTCCTTTTGATGGCAGTGGACCGGTTTATGTCGTACAAAAATGTTACCAAGTTTTATCGTTTCCTTTTTTTTCAGATGCGACTACTACACGCGAACGTTAGGGGTCGTAAAAAACTGAAAATATGTAGTTTCTACTACTCTGCTGGGGTGCAGACCTTAATATGTAGCTTATAACAGTAAACAATTAGTAGGCTCTATCAGCACAACAATATTGTTGAACGGGCGTAAGGACGAACATAAATAGAGCAATGAGGTTTGTAGGGGCATCAGTTACTGTGACGGAACTGTTGTCACATCTGCTAGGTAACTGTTTGGATGAGCGATGGAAGAGGCCAAGCTGGGATTGTCCCACTGGACCAGTGTGGGAGTGCAAGGCCAGTGCGAGACGGGATGAGATGGGCCATCTTGTGCCGGTGCTGATGGTGGAGTGGAGGGCAAGGAGAGATGGTGGGTAACCTATGGGCTACCCCCCTCTCCACCATACCCGAATTTATACCAGCAGTATACCCTATGTACCACTGAGTAATTTTGTAGTAGGCCTATACCCTATGTACCACTGAGTGATTTTGTAGTATACCCTATGTACCACTGAGTAATTTTGCTGCTGCCGTCTTGTTTTTACAGTAACTGAAGTTAATGTGGTTTCCTATAAACAGCTTCTATAAATGATTTACCTGAGTAGTCATGTGAGTAGCTATGAGGTGAGGACATTGCACTAATGCTAAGCTTTGTGGCACTTTCGTTCCCCGCAGGGAGCATAGATGCCTTAAAGGGAGCAGAGGTGCAAGTCACCGAGGCAGGTAGCGGTCAGAGAGTTTGCATCCAATATGTCTTCCATGACGTAATAAAAAGGATGGTCAACCCTCATGGAGAGTCGGTAAGTGGCCAATAGTGGCCATTAGATTCTAACTTAAGTTCCTATTAAAATGTTTTACAGGGTATGAAACACACAGAACCTGCTCTCCCTGTGTAGTTCTGCTCTCCAAGCAGCTGCTTTTTGGAAAGCAGTTTATGCCCATTGGTTCTACTGGGGAAGGTGTTTATAATTTACATTCTTCTTATTCAGCAGACGCTTTTATCCAGAACAATATACATTTGCTTTGCACACACAGGGTCAGCTAACCCCTGGGGCAGTTGGGAGTTAAGGGCCCATCAGTAAAATCACTCAGCTTGCCCTTTAGGATTTGAACCGACAACCTTCTGATAACAGGCACAGCACCATTTCCCGCTGAGCAGGGATGTGGGGATGACAGGGAGCACTTGTTCCTATTGCCCTTTTGCTCAAATAATTGAAAGTGCTTCCCTTCTGGTTCTAAGTGTCGAGGGGACTTAACGAGTGCCTGTATTTGATCACCGACAATCACACAAAAAACACTTCCGGTGAATGGACCTACCCAACCATCCAAAAAGAGATTGGGCATGTTCTGGGGCTGGAAGCGTGCTGATGAAGACAGTGGAGACAGATATAGAGTCTAATATGACTGACACCAGACACTGCCGGTCCTATGCCATACCACAATCCTGTGCAAGAACCTTCCCAGTTCCACCACTGCAGCCAGTACACATGTGCTGGTGCATTTTAACGTTACAGTGCAATATCCACACCATTTCTACTTGTGGTTTGCTTGTTTGTACTGTTATTTATGTTTTTATCTGTCCCTTGTGTTGACGCCTGTACCTGCAGAGTAATTCCTTGTACACTTGGTACTTGGCGAACAATAAAGATTCTGATTCTGTTAAAAAAAATTCACAACCTGATTGGGATCATCTCTAACTTTTGCTCAAATGGCGTTGCCTTGATTTCAGTGGTCGTTCTCAATGGATAGAGTGACAGTCCTCCCAGGACAGACATACACAGTCTCTGTGTCACACCTGCCAAAGCCAGACGTAGGGCATATGGAGGAAAATCGGACATATACTGTCCCAGGTACTACAAATACTGGACCATTATACTTTTGGATAGGTATCTTCACACTGACTGAAATTCATGTCCATTCCATTTGCTTTCCACATCTGATTAATGTAACCATAAAGTTATCTTTATGTGGGCTATTTTGCAATGACGGTGTTTCTCCAACTGACAGGTTGCAGAGATACCACACTGCAAGAAACTGAAGTGTGTGTGGACCACGGTAAGTTTGAGTGTCCATTGAGTGTCCAGTGGTCCGGCCCGTCCTGATGTGACATGCTCAGTAGGCGGTGTTTAACTTGTGCTCCTGAATGCTACTTTCAGGCAGCCTATGGAAACCCAACATTACCTGGGATATATCAGCCTCCCCACAATTTACAGCTGTGGTCAGCGTGGCTTTCAGTGCTGGGAAGTTCTGTGACAAGTACCGGGTGTCAATCCACTACTCGGGTGTTAATCAGTCCCTGACTGTCTGGAAGGTACCATGATCATGCCCCCCCCCCCCTATTTTTCAATGATATTGCTGGGACAGGGAAAAATGACACTGGGTGATGATATGTCTTTTATCCCCATAAATTCAGCAGGAAAACCAGACTTCCATGAATGTGAGCTTCTCTGTGGGTCCATGGCATGAGCCCTGCTGTGAGCTCATCGCAATACATTTGGTGCCTACATGTGTTTCCGACTTGAACTCCATCACCATTCCAATGTCTTTCCGCTCCAAAAATATTAATTACTGTGTGAGTACGACCTCCCAGAATGACCCTTCAAGCAAGTAGTACTTTGCATTATTACATTATGTCCTGAAAAAAAATAGCTATTTCTGAAATGATTTGTAGCGAGTCAGTTATAAAGTTGTTGACTTCTGTTGACCTTTTTGATCTTTCTCACAGTTTCAGCCTCTTTTGTCTCTCCAGGAAGATCAGCTGGGCAAATGCATTGGCAAGTCTTCTTAATCCAGATTATATTACTTTTCATTGCATTACCCATAATGTAGTGTGAAGCAATATTGGAATGAACACCTTTGATAATCAATTCTTAATGATTGACCTGTATGTTGTATCATTTTGCCAGCAAAAGGTCCTGATGAATTCAGTCTCGGCCATAGTCTGACTGCTCTGATCTTTGGACTCACCTTGACTTGTGTGCTCCTAGCTTTTTTACTACACAAAAATCGCCGGAAAGGTTAGTAAAACATCATTTTGTCATTGTATGGATATGTTTTAAAAATGTTTTTGAAACATACTTTAATTCTACTGCCATTTTCTGCACTGTCAGACAAAAGAACCAATTTGTACCTTATAAGTACTTGTCACTGAAGCTGTACGCCCAATGGTCTGATAGTTCTACCAAAGCTGTAGGTAAATGTAGCTTTTAAAGTACCTAAATGCACTCTGAGGAACGTTTTTGTACCATTGTGGGTACATTAATGTTGTTTGTACCAGGCCTGTGCCCTTTTTTTGACTGTGTTTATCTACAGCTAACCCATGATTTTGCTCGAAAGGGAATTTTTCTTGAGTTAGCAGCAAAGTAACCACAAAACCAAAGATAACAGCGTGATGAAAGTTCTAGCCATTCAGACTCTCATCTCACTGAAGTTCCTTTTCGCATTTTCAGCTGCCTACTTGGAGGAAAACAGCTTAGAAGGTAAAGTTATAACCACGATTATCTCCACAACATAAAACTGCATGTGTTCCAAACACAGAAACAGCTTTGGTAAGAGAGAAAGATTATACGGTTATCATAATATATCATTTATTTTTCTTTCCCCAGATTCAGGCCACTTCTCCTCAATTCCAGCAGAACCACAGCAACACTCTCAAGTGAAAAGCAAAAGAAAAGTGCTCGTCATCTACTCTCTGGACCATGCCCTGTACAGGGAGATTGTGCTCAAGCTGAGTGCCTTTCTGAGGGCTAGATGTGGTACCGATGTGGTTCTGGACATGCTGGACACAGCAGAGCTGGGCACAGTGGGCCGCATGCAGTGGCTGGACTGGCAGAAGCAGCAGATGGAGAAGTCTTCCGACAAGATCATCATCCTGTGCTCCCGGGGAGTGCAGGCCAAGTGGAACGCCATGTGTGGCGGGAGAAGGGTGATGTTGAAAGAGGATGTGCGCTCTCCCACCGGGGACATGCTCACTCCCGCTTTCAGCCTCATCATGCCAGATTTGCTGCATCCGGATGCAATTGGGAAGTACATAGTGGCTTACTTTGATGATGTCTCTTCTGAGGATGATGTTCCCTCACCCTTCAACATCACCGTCAAGTACAAGCTAATGAAGCACTTTGAAGAGCTCTACTTCCGAATCCTGGACAAAGAGAAATATGAGCCCAGGAAGGTGAATCGCATCGAAGGTATAGCTCAGGATGAATACTTCAATTGTCCCTCGGGAAGAGCCTTGAGGGACGCCATTGAGGCATTCCAAGCCTACCAGCTTGAGCACCCTGACTGGTTTGTGAAGGAGTGCGTGGATAGTGAGGATGATGCTCTAGATACAGACCTGCAGTGCCCTCTTCTTGTAGAGATGCCAAATAGCTCCGTCTTGCAGTGTGTGCCAGAGTGTAAGGAAGGGCCTCCTGTCTTTTTCAACACATTAGATGTGAATGAGGAGTCTGGGAGCATTTTTCAACTCACTCCCCTGATAGAGAATGGAAAAGGAAATGTATTCTCCCAACATGTTGATCCAGTTGCTTATTCAGAGGGAAACCAGGTATGGTCTGCATGCTCAGCCGCTCAACTGGATGACAGAAGTGTGTATCCCATGCCCTCAGCTGTTCAGCCGCAGCAAAGTCAGGTATATTCTGTAAAACCAGCTGATCAGGTAGAGAAAGGCCAGCTATGCTCTGTATACGCAGCTGTAGAAGATATTCAGAGGCTCTATACAGGTTCTGTTCACCCCACGTTCTCTAGTAATGTAGCCATGCAGGAGCTCGCTCCCCCAGCACTGGCCTGGGATCAGGAGATTCCTGAAACAGAACATCTCCACGTGGAGGACCACGAAGATGAGCCAGTCTCCCATTGCCTCTCAGCAGATGTACTGCAGAAGCTGATGGCTCTTCAGCAGTCATCGTTGGGGTCTAGGACTTCTCAGGTTCCCTCTTCTGTGGAGGACAAATTCCCATATGGACAGCAGGCAGCAGGTGTCTATGCTTGGAATAAGTCACAGAGTGGCTCAGATCAGGGCTACATCTCCAGGACCTCCCCCCAGCAGGACTCTCCTCTCAGGGAGGACTTTCAGGACCAGCTGGATGCTTTCTCCAGGCTGCAGGACACCAATTTGTCTCATAGCATCAAGCCCCCAAGTCACCCAGATGGAACTCTTGGTAACTCAGGAGATCATAAGAGATAATAATGAAGTAAATGAACAAAATAATGGTCCAGAACGGACCTTACATTCCTGCATGGAACGTTAACTCATGTGACATACACCTACATAAAATGGACCCTATAGTGCACAATGAGCCACGAGCATGTAAGCTAGATGTTAAATGGTAGACCACACAAATAGGTAACAACCGAAGCAGCGATTGCAACCATCTTCGTATATAAGTGAGCCAGATTGTGGACAAGTGTAATGGCAAGATCAGTCTAAAATGTATTTTCTGTGCTTCCTGGATTTTAGGTTTAATGCTTTTGTTAAAAAAGGCAAAGAATTTTGTAAAATGTCTTCTGTGGTTATCAGGTGTTAAATCAGTTTCTGGTGGCAGATGTGTATGTACTGTATATGCAGTGGAGAAAAAAATATTGTACATCACGTTACTTGAATGTCGGTTGCAGAATTTAATTATTCATATTTGAAGGTGTGCTGTAAATATGCAATTTACTTTATATATATCTATACCAGGGGTCTCCAACTCCGGTCCTGGAGAGCTGCTATCCAGTAGGTTTTCTGTCCCACTTGGCTTCTGATGAGCCACACCTGGTCCTGGTATTTACCTGAGAACAGGTGTGGCTTATTAGAAGCCAGATATGATAGAAAACCTACTGGATAGTAGCTCTCCAGGACCGGAGTTGGAGACCCCTGATCTATACGCTTTTTATCAAACTGTCACTTGGCATGTTGTTCTTATGGTGATTCACTAAATCAGAAACATTAAAAATGTAACGTTCCAAAAAATTACAACTGAAAATACTTTTGCAAAAAATATGTCATGATATAATCTTGAAGGCCATTAATGCATTAGGTGTAAATTTTAAATATAATTTTTTATTAAATGTCTGATTGATATATATATATATATATATATATATATATATATATATGCTTGTTTTTTGTAAATATTACAATAAAACTCTCTATTCTCTATTCTATTCTCATACAGTTGCACCTGTTCTTTTCAGTTATGAATGTATTATGAAATGAAAGTTAATGTTAAAATGGAAAAAGATAATGATGTTCATGGATCATACATAATCTATCCATTTATACATCTTCCTGTCCTGGATTCTCGTGGTTCATGCACATATTTTCATATGATATTAAAAGATTGATACGTCGTCAATTTCACATTAAAATGATTGACATCAGCACGAGCGATATATTGATAATTGAATTTATTTATTTTATCATACGGCATGCAGTAATATTTTGATAAATTGTGACGTTCTGTGACGCCCAGCTCGTCCGATCCTCGTGTGTGCCACGCCCTCCTCATTACCTCGTGTTAATTCCCGATTGTATTCACCTGTTGCCTGTTCTGTTCAGCGTATCCTGTGTATATTAGTCCACGTCTTCCGTTGTTGCCCAGATCTGTCATTGTCGTGTCGTGATGTTCGTTGATGTCTGCCCTGAATAAACCCCGTTTATTCATATTCACGGCTTCGCTCGCCTGTTTCCCCGCTCGCCTCGCACGCCCGGCGTTACACGTACATTCTTGTGACGCAGACGATATAAATCTGTAATTAAAGTTCAGCTGTGTGGTAATTGTGTTTTCATAGCCAGGGGCGTGGCTAGAAATTCTTGACCTTCAAAGTGTCACTTTGCCCACCAAAGTGCCCCTCCCCCGCAGTAGATTGTGCCACCCGGAATGGGGGTTGGGGTATCCCCTCATCACATTTTGCTGGATTGACCCCCTGAATTCTGCAGGGTATCTGTGCCCCTCTTACATCCCTGCCTATGACAATAAGATTTTCATGTTTTAGAGATAATTTTAACACATTACTAATATCCTTTCCTAGTCTTCAAAAAAAACGTATAACATTGCTACCTTAGAGATAAGTACAGCATCGTGCTCTGTAATTTTAATAAAGTAAATGGGGCACGTTTTCAATTCATAAATCGCTTTCATTAGCCTTTATCTTATAATGGAGATGTTTCGTTGTATTTTGACAGTGTACTATTCCAAATGAATGGTATAGTCGGAAAACACTGTCATTTCCAGTAACGTCGGATGTCGCAAATATTTGCATAACTTCACCAGGAAGTTTCCTTCAAGGGAAGTTTTGCTCTGGTGTTACCTAATCGGAAAGTCACACGGGAGTGTAACAACAATGATGATCGCGCTGCGCCAAATTATTCACTTATTTACCAATTGATATCATATATATATATCAATAAATAAGAAAGATACGTGTTGCTTTGCCAGCAGTTCGACGTAATTCTATATTATTATAGACGGTTTCAGTTTAATAGGCGCTCTGGGAACAGGCAATGGGCTGCGACTCAACGCCGACATTTTCATAATAATAAGAGAAAATGAAGTTTCCTTACATTACATTTTTATTATCGACACAAATCGTGCTGCTTTCGGGTCTTCGCATACTACGTGGGCCGCCTCCCAACTGCACGCAGGAGGTAAAAGTCGTCGTTTTTATCTGTGCTTTTAATTATTGAGATACGGCAACGTGATAAAGTTACAGTAGTACTGGGTGTCGGTCAGAAATGGATTTGGCTTGCATTACAGCAAAAGGACCGTCGTCTTTTTCCTAATATTACAAAAGAAGAAGCCTCTTTGTATACAGTAACGCAAGATTAAACTTACCTGCTGCACCGAGCGATGATTCATTTTCTCCCTGAGCGACGCAAAACAAACACGAAGTTTAATCATGACACATATAAAAATAAGCTTTATACTTACGCTTGCTGTATTTCTAATTGTAAGGAACTCTATTTTTAATAGATTATCATAATGTGTGAAACTTTTTTTTATCGAATTACCAATAACATAAGATTATTGTATAATTGTATAAATTATACAATAATCTTCTGTTATTGGTAATTCGATATATATAAAAAAAAAATGTCTGGACGTATATAAGGGCTTTATTCCGGATTTTGTCTGGAAAAACAGTGATTGCTCTTTGAAGAACTTGCGAGGCCCTTTTTCAAAGCAGTGTTTTTGTTTTTTAACAGGGCCTGGGATGCAGAGCTAATATAAGTAAGACCTCCGACTGATCCCTCTTGGTTATTGTGTTTGTTATCCTACGTCTGCAGTAGATGAAAACAACATGATTGGGAGCATTAGGTGAAACATTTGCGCTGCATGTTAATGTAAATATGGGGTAGAAATACAGAATAGCAGCTGTTAACTTCCCGTGTGTATGTAAATCCTCAGCCCTTTGATTATGGAATGTTTTGCCCAACCTTGACTTCAGCCACCGTAAATTTTTCTTCTGGCTTCAGTTACCTATTCAACAAGTAAGTTGAACAGTCTATTGTAGGGGTACTGGGGGGGGGGGGGGGTAATTGGATTGGTCTGGGTTGGGGACCCCAATATTCACTTTAATGGGACCCAGAATCTCGAACGCCACCGCTGGTCCATTGAACTCAAATGGGATTCAAACAGACCCGGCCAGATGAAAAATTCAGGTGTAACTTATGTCTCAGGTGAGCTTCCTTCTCTTTCATTGGAAGCCTGTTTTTTAACACAAAATATCATTTTCACTCACATTGTCTTAGTAACTAAACGCCTGGTCAAGGGGCAACCCTATCTGCTCATGGTATGATGCTACCAGCATGGTGATTAGAAGATAAGCTCTCAGTGGCAAACTCTCAGTTCCTCTCCTTCTCTGAACTTCTGCCTTTTTGCCACTGTACTGTGTTTTGTCTACATTGTTTATGAAAGTTTTATATACGAATGGGTAGGATAGAGAACTGCTGAAGTTCAGCTCTGTTCTTCATTGCATGTTCTCTCACATGTCCTTTGTGAAGCCGAGGACAGGTTTACATCTCGTCACACATCATCTGCAACTTTCCAGTCTTTAGGACACAATGAACCCATGTTCTCTGGAGAGTATCCACAGTCCCTTTGGCTGTCTTAAAGCTTTCCTCCTTGGCTGTGATTAACTTCTCTGTCATCACTTGCCATTGTCCTTCTTGAATAACAGTCGCTGTCCACTGTCCACTTCTACTGTAGGTACTTGTTGATTTTGCAACGCATTTGATTTTAATTTTTGTCTGTAACCCAGAGAGTTAATCCCCGTGTTTTTATTTGCACAGTTAATGCAACATGGATCATCTGAACAATTAGATCTGCTCATCAGCTCTGAATCCACATGTTTGTTCTCACCTCAAATGGCGGGATTTTAAATGGCAATGATTTAATGGCTAAAGAAATACAAACAGTCTCTGTAAATAAAAGACATCATTCTGTATTCTTTGCCTGATATTAATCTTCTGACCAGCAATACAAATATTTAGCAATAAAAAGTGACCCTATGGTATTTCACCTCGCTGTCGATACGTTTCTCCATAGCTCCCATCTTGCTTAGGTTGGGTTGAGGCAGAATGTAGATGCTGTTCCTAAAATAACAATGTTCTAGCACAGTTAAGGTACTTTACTGTTTATAATTCTGCTACTTTACCTACTTTACATACCTAAATGTAATATTATCTTTGTAACCAACAGAGGAGGACATGAGGAGGAGTTTGATATTGTGAGGGGAGGGGGCCCAGTTACATAATTTAAATACAATGGTTTGTTTAATATAAATGAATGATATTTAATATTTATTAAAAATAAATATTGGAGAATACACGTTTCCTCCAGCTCCTACAGCCTTGCTTGTGACAGTTAAGTGAGATAAAATAGTTTCCTATGCTGTTGAGTAAAACAATAGATACATGCGTGGTCATGAGTGAACTGATGCATTAAGAGGGTCAGATGATGTAGTATTAAAACTAGTATCATGATGCATTATGAAAGCTCAGGCAGCCTGTGGGAAATGTCTGTCCTACATCTATCAACACTTTCTCTCACTGTACAGATAACTGTTTAGACAAGGACTGGTTAAAGCCAAATGATTTCACTCCAACTGGGCCGGACAAGTTGTGGGTCACGATTGCAGTTAGAGAGGAGAACGGCACGCAGGTGCCGGTGCTGATGGTGACGTGGAAGGCCAGGGCAGACGGTAGGTGTGCCACCGTGGAGCTCGATGTGCATTTCCGCGTCTGCATCAGTGAGGACTTGATATGTCAAGTCAACTTTCCATGTTTTACAGCTTGGCTCATATCTTATCGAAATCAAGCTATCAAAGGAATTCTCATCATTTCAATTTATCATTTACAATAAAGTTTTTCATACAGCAACAGAAAAACCTCAAAGCTCTTCAAGAAGAACATGAGGTGATATTTACAAAAAGATTAAGACAAGACCGCAGGCAGACAGAGAAGCTCTAAGCCAGGGGTCTCCAACTCCGGTCCTGGAGAGCTACTATCCAGTAGGTTTTCTATCATACCCAGCTTCTGATGAGCCACACCTGTTCTCATGTAAATACCAGGGCCTGGTGTGGCTCATCAGAAGCCAAGTGGGACAGAAAACCTACTGGATAGTAGCTCTCCAGGACCGGAGTTGGAGACCCCTGCTCTAAGCATTATACAGTCTTAGGTGTTTGGGTGAACATTTTCATTTTCTTACACTTTTCTATCACAGTGTGTTTAAGTAATAAGGGTCTGCAGCTTGATTGACAGGAATACATTGTTCCCCTTAGGAAGCATCAAATTTCTTAATGGAACAGAGGTCCACGTACTGAAAATGTCAAGCAACCAGAATTTTTGTGTTCGCTACATATTTCTGAATGCAATTAATTCCATGAAGAATGCCTATTCTGAAAATGTAAGTAAATATATAATTACAACAGAATTATATAGTGGTTTGTTTTTTGCGAGTCCTAAACATATACATAGAAGGGCATTCGATAAAATAACCTATACTGTGTTTTTTATTCTAACAATCACTGCAGTCTGTAGAGCTCTGTATAACCAACACCTCTATATTCTGCATATCTGCAATGAAGAGTTCTAAGTATTAACATTTTTCTCATTTATGGTCTGTTTCTCTTTCTAGTGGTCATTTTCACTGGACAGGCTGGTGGTGGACCCTGGCCAAATGTACCTGGTTACTGTCAGTAACCTACCAAAGCCAAATATGGGCCATGACATATATAATACTTCCGAAGTTATTGTTGTTCCAGGTGAGATTGACAGATTATCACAATTAAAAAAGACCAGGCTTGCAAACTCAGGAATTATTGTTAGGAAAAAGCAGGAACATTTTAATGACAAAAGATGTCTCAATGCATATGAAATGTGTTTTATGAATGGATGGATGTACTTCGTTAATTGCCACTGGGAAAATCCTTTGTTACAGCAGCAAACATAAATTACACAACTATATAACATAAGTTTAAGATTAAATAAATAAAATAGAAAACAGGATGCACAAGTGAAATAAATCAGATGAATAATCAAATAGATAAGTAAAGGTATTTGGAATAGCCGTGCTATATGCAATAGTATTTGGAATAGTGAGTGTTCTGGGCTGTCAACGTCAAAGGTAGTGCAAGTATGGAATGTTTTATTCTACATGTAAGACAGATAGTAGTAATAGTAACAGTTGGCATTTCTGAATTAAGGAAACAGTATTTAAGACAGTGTTTCTCAACACAGTTCTCAGAGACCCCCATATGGTCCACAGTTTTGCTCCTTCCCACCACTCTACCAGACAATCCACATTTTTGCTCCCTAGCATTAGCTAGGAGGGAACAAAAACATGGACTGTCTGGGGTCCCTGAGGACCGGTTTCAGAATCAGAAACACTGATAGAAGCAGTTTTTGTCTTGATTGATAATAATATAATTTAGGACAATGAATTATGTGTTGTTTGCTCAGGCTGTGGCGATAGCATGATGAGAACGACCAACGTATGCTCAGAAATTGGTGAGTGTCTCTCATTCCAAGGATAAGGGGCGAGGGGGCCTTATATTGGATTTGCTACCCTACAGCTCCTATTCCAGTCCCATTCCAGGACAGAGTTTCTCTCCCACTTTCCCTACCCATCCTTTTCCTGTGGAGTTAAAATCAGTATAATTCAGCATACTGTCCAGGCACTGCTTTTAAATCAGTACAGTAAATTATTATTCTTTCCACAGGCGCACAGTAATTACAACAGATAACATCCAAGCAATTAAATACTAAAGATTCCCCTAAGAATTCATACCCCCCCCCCCGAAGTGGATTTGAATATAGACTCTCTTTAAGAAGAATAACATGGTCTGTTCTATGGCATTTCAGGGAGTTTATGGAAATCAAACATCAGCCTGAGGAGGTCAGACATCGCTGGTAAAAATGATGCTATCACTGTGTATTTCAACGGCGGAGAGTCATCCATTAAGTACAAGGTGTCAGTTCAGTGCTCTGGGCAGAAAAACTCTCAGACTGTCTCGCAGGTACAGTCATCTCACAAGCATATATATATATATATATATATATATATATATATATACACACACACATATATATTTATGTATTTATATTTATATGTGTGTGTGTATGTATATATACCTGTATATATATAGGCCAAAACCATAATAGCAACTGATATATAACATGTTTTATTTATCATCTTGGTTCTTGCAGAATGACTTGAAACGAATTAATGTGACATTTGAGCTTGGGAAATGGCCTCGGACGTGCTGTGAATTTTCTGTTGAGGTGAGTCGGGGGGGGGGGGGGGGGGTTGGGTCCCTTTCATTGTGGCTTTGATGTCCTAACACTGACCCTCTGCCTTATCTTTCTTATATAACAATTGGGGGATTGCATTCACCCATCTGCACACAGTTACAGTGACAAAGACCATGGACTGTGTAACCAGCTGATTTTTGGAGCATCATTAGCAGTGCAGTGGTGAACAATCGTGAAAATATTACCTAGAAATAATTTAACACAAGCCAAAAAAACTTTTTTAATAAAAAGCCTGAATTATATCCATTTTTAAAAAACAAAAAATGAGGCAAGGCGAATGATATTGACTACTTGCTGAGTGTTACAATTTGATATCTACCAATCAGCTGTATTTTAGACTGTTTGTTTACTGTTATGTCGTTGGTAGCATTAGCCAGATGCTAAATCAGCGTGCATTGTAAGGCTAAAGGGGGCATGGTGAAGAAGGCTTCGAGAACTTAGGGAAGAATGAAGAGACGGAAGGTTATATCTGAGTTTTTCAAAAGTAAACTGCCAGGTGGACATGATTTTATGCCCCCTCTCTTCATGGCCCCCCTTAGTTAGTCCACGACACAAGCAGGTGTATGATTTGAATATAATAATGTTCTCATCTTTCTCATCTTTCCTTTAGATCCAGCCATTTTTCCATCAGTGTAGAAATGATTGTGTTCGACACCAGAAAAAAAATAATATCTGTACTGGTGAGTGCAATACATATATAATTTCTAAAATAAGTTAATTGTCAAAGAAGTACACGTTGCTGATGTTAGCTACAAACCCTAAAGAAATTTCTTACATAAATTCGTCAAAAGTATTTTTTTGGCTCTCTCCTATTCCGGAGTTGCTCTTACTGGTGTCTGGTTCACTCTGATCATTGTTAGAAAGCTCTGTTTTTCACAACAAATCGTTCTAAGATGCCTTTGATTGGCTCAGTGATGCATTTACAGCATTAAGGTCAACAGCCTGGAGCATAATAGTCTTGAAGCCATTGGTGATCAAAGTCAGTTATAGCAGGTTTCCAGGGATCCTTAAAAAGTCTTATGAAGTTTAAATTGATCTAAATTTAATTTGATCTGAAACATGCCTTAATTGGTATTAAAATACATCTGTTGTAGTCTTCCTATGAATGTGGAGAATAACACTGATTTACTTGTTCATGAATGGATAGATTTTATGTTGCCGACTTTTCTATGGCACAGTTCCCAGGAGTTAGTACAACCAGCAGCAATCATTTGGGGGAGGGAGAGGGACAGTATCTTCCATTAACAAACAAGTTTCCTTGTTCAAGGTGGGCAGGAAGTAATGTTATCTATCTCTCATCACTATGGGAAAATGCAAATACCACAGAAGCTGGTTGGATGACCCCAGTTTGGATAATGATAATGAATACCAGGCTGGTTTTATACTGTCTAAAATGTTCTTCAAATTTGGCACAAGGGGAATCAATGTGCAGGGTGAGAAACACTAAATGGCTGTGATGAGCTGTCAACAACCACAAGTAACTGGTGTCACTGGTTTGCCGTTTCTGCAATTGTGAAACTGGCCGTAAATGTAACTTTAGGTGGCATTAAGAAGTCTTGCATATAGAGTCAACTGGATGCTGCATTATTACCTCTGAGTACTGAACACTTTCTTTGTAATATTCTTAGTTATCTTAAACAAATGCAGATCCTCAAACCTATTTAAAACACAAAAAACATAAGTCACTGGTCATGGGATATAATGCAAAGTAGACAGAAATATTTACTGATGCACTTCTCAGGCCGGTTATCTTTGCAGGTTTTCATCCCTAATTCATTCATTTAAAGACTCACTTGCAATGTGCTTTTGCTACATCTTCAACCCTCATTGCAGTGGTCGTTAGGCAGAGCAACGGTTTATGTTTTGTTATGCCGGTTTTGTTAGAATCATTTTTGGTACAAAGTTCAGTGAGCTTTAGGGCGTTGCCATCATGCATGTGTCTACGGTACCTGTGATTATTTAAAGAGACACGGCACAGATTTTCTTGTTAAAAACTCACCTCATCTTCCATGTTGTCATGTACAGTAAAATGCTGTTCTTTTTTGCAGTAGATACCATGACAGATTACAGCATAACTTTTAAATAGATAGTGTATAGTTGCAGCATTACTGGGAACAGTTTTTAAATAATTATCTGCTGTTGCATTAAGTATATTGTATTCAGATGTAAATGCAGGCATTTTTACTTGCAAGTTATTGTTACCATACAGTGGAGCTTTTAAAAAATTAAAAACCTGAAATTGAAGGCTGGTTCCCTTATTGGACTGCAAGGTGATTGTGAATCACTTGGGGGGGGTTGCCTGTGGAAGATGTTTTCAGGTTTTTACTGATTTAAAAAATAGTATTTATTTTTTACTAATTAGAGAGTATTTAAGTTAATCAACTATGTGTAACGTTAGCATCGCTGATAAATGTAGGTCTTCATAAAGTAATCAATTGTGCTCTGTAAATGGGTCAACTGCTTTTCTGAAGGTTTAAATTACAAATAAATACTCTAAATACTTTATAGTTCCCTATTTTTGACTCCAAATTCAAGTCAAATTAATATGTTATGCTAGTCAGTTACTTTTGTGAGTTTTATTTGGACTGCACTGTGGTCACAGTGACTTTCCATGATGTGTCAAACTAAGAATAAAACTTTGATGGAACTTAACTCTCTATTTTCCATTATTCTCAAACAGAAAACAAAAAGCCTTTGATCTGGCCCATCATCGTTGGGGTTTCCCTGGCCTTGGGGGTTGTATGTTGCATCGGCATCTACTTTTGGGTCCGGAAACCTTACAAAGGTTGGTATCAAACATGACAACAATGTATGTCTTAGGACTCTGATATAAACAGTGACTATGGATAGTCTAATAGCATATAGCTAATGATGGTGATGTAGTGTAGTGTGGCCTGTTTCATCTGGATATTTGGTAAAATTATAGCAATTCAGTTTAGAGAAAAGCATGCAAGCAAAGTTTATTTATATATCACATTCCTCAGGCAACAAAATGAAATGGCAACATCATACAACAAATCTATAAAACGAAACAATGTGAAAATATAACACAATACGATAAATACAATAAAACATAACATACATAGCACCAATCAGGTAACAATCTATCAATCTAACAGTCTATCACTCTTCACATTTTCAGGTGTCCCACATGAAGTACACATAGAAGGTAAAATTTCAGTTTTTCTCAGCTGTCGTTGGACAAAAGAAATGTCGTTATGACATGATTAAATTCTCAGTGCTAGAAAAGTTTTAAAAATTAGCTAAGACTTGTGTAAATTTACAGAAACTTACTTTTCACAGATGTCACTATCACCACTAAAATATCAGACAAAGAAGAAACGCCTTCCAATGGCCCCAGGAGAGTGCTCGTCATCTACTCTATGGACCATGCCCTATACAAGGAGATTGTGCTCAAGCTGAGTGCCTTTATGCGAGCTAAGTGTGGTACCGATGTGGTTCTGGACATGCTGGACACAGCAGAGCTGGGCACAGTGGGCCGCATGCAGTGGCTGGACTGGCAGAAGCAGCAGATGGAGAAGTCTTCCGACAAGATCCTCATCCTCTGCTCCCGGGGAGTGCAGGCCAAGTGGAACGCCATGTGCACGAGGCAAAGGGTGATGTTGAAAGAGGATGTGCGCTCTCCCACCGGGGACATGCTCACTCCCGCTTTCAGCCTCATCATGCCTGATTTGCTGCACCCAGCTGCCTTTGGGAAGTATATAGTGGCTTACTTTGATGATGTCTCTTCTGAGGATGATGTTCCCTCACCCTTCAACATCACCGTCAAGTACAAGCTAATGAAGCACTTTGAAGAGCTCTACTTCCGAATCCTGGACAAAGAGAAATATGAGCCCAGGAAGGTGAATCGCATCGAAGGCATAGCTCAGGATGAATACTTCAATTGTCCCTCGGGAAGAGCCTTGAGGGATGCCATTGAGGCATTCCAAGCCTACCAGCTTGAGCACCCTGACTGGTTTGTGAAGGAGTGCGTGGATAGTGAGGAAGATGCTTTAGATGCAGACCTGCAGTGCCCTCTTCTTGTAGAGATGCCAAATAGCTCCATCTTGCAGTGTGTGCCAGAGTGTAAGGAAGGGCCTCCTGTCTTAGTTAATACAGTACAACTGAGTGAGGAAGGCAGGGGGACCTTTCAGGTCACACCAATCATGAACGAGAGTGAGGGGAACATATTCACTCAGCATGTCAATTCTGCTCACCCAGAACTGAACCAAGTATACTCGTTTTACCCATCTGCTCAACTGGATCACAGCCAGGTATACTCTGCACAACCAGCTGTAGATGATGATCCGGGGGTGTATAGAGCAGAAATTCACCCCATGGTCAGTCAAGATGCAGCCATTCAGGAGCTGTTTCCCCAAAGACATACTTGGCATCAGGCAAGACCAGCAAGTCTGCCCGAGGAAATTGATGAAAATCAATCACCGTCTTCCAGTAGCCTTTCTGAAGGAATGCTAAGGAGACTGATAGCTTTCCAGCAGTCAATGGGTCCCATGGACTCTCAAAGTTCCCATTCTGAGGAGGAAGAATTCCTGTCAGAGGCTGCAAGTGATTGGATGCAAGCAGGGTGTGCTTTGAAAAGGCCGATAAGTGACTCAGATCAGGGCTACATCTCCCGGACTTCCCCCCAGCAAGACTCCTCTCTCAGAGAAGACTTCCAGGATCATCGAGAAGAACTCCTTAAGCTCCAGAACACTTGTTTATCTCTCAGCCTCAAACCCCTGGGCAATCCTCTTGGACCACAAAACAACCCAGAAGACTATGAAAGTGATGAAGATTTATAGAATTCATCAATTATTGTTTAAGCAACTATCATAAATTACATGAATACAGTAATATTGTGTATCCTGAAAATCAGTTCAAACACAAAAGAAGATTAGCGTGAAGTTAAACTGAAATGGTTGTAACAATGTTATCTAGAATTGCTGTGGAATACAAAGGATATAATATTACCTTATCTGAAAAAAGTCCTGGAAACAGGTTACAATGCAAATTTGCAGATTTTCAAATAAAGTATCAGTTTTTCTAAATGATAGTGATTAAAGACACAAGACAGGATATTAAGGAGGAATGTTGTAAATTTGGTTTGGGAGGTTCAATCTAGACTGGAAAGCATATAATAATAATAATAATAATTATTATTATTATTATTATTAACACAACATCCAAACATATATTATAACACACATGTGAATTGTGATTAATGTTAAAATATATGTTTTATAATTACACTGCCTAACGAATTGGGATCGACATGAAGTGGTTAAAGAAAATTTTATCTTTTGCGGATTTTTAATTATAGTAATTATAATTAAATAATTATAAATAATTAATAATAATAAATAATTAAATAATTGGGGGCAGTGTGTGGCTCAGTGGGCTAAGCCTGTGTGCCTGTAATCACAAGGTCGCAGGTTCAAACCCAGCTTCAGCACATCTGTGGGTCCTTGAGCAAGACCCTTAACCCCCAGCTCCCTGGGCGCTGCTATGGGTGGCTGCCCTTTGCAGACAACTTACTCTACAAAGAGCAAGTTGAGGGAGGCATAAAAACAATTTCCCCACAGGGATCAATAAAGTATCAATTATTATTAATTATTAATTATAGAGCAATGGATCCGATAGTCAGTTTGTCATGACACATTTTGGTTATGTGCGTCACAGATGAAATAGGCCTACAATTGCGGTATTAAATGCGATTTACATATCAAGACAACCAATTCTTGGATTTCAAACCGTGCACATACCTGCCATACTTAACATGGAAAACGGTAAACGACACAGCGCACTATAATCACTGAAAAAAATGTATTAATTCATACTATTTATTGATAATGGTATTTCGGGTAAATAATTGTACCAAAAGTTCCAAAACAATAAAAAGGAATAAATTGGGCCTAAGTAATCGCTGCTCCCAAGATTTATCAGTGACACCTCGCCTATAGTTAAAAGGTGGAATTAACCCAGTCGAGTGACCTGTATACCTTTAATAGCCTACATATTTTACTTAACGGGGCACAAATAATGTAGTATTATCTTATGTATTAGTTAAACACATACTAACTGTGTTACAACTCATATTAATTAATTCACGATGAATAAATCATGACGCATGTTTGGTCTCAAGCTGTTACTATATTTGTTACTATGTGTTAATTCTGTAAACCTTTGTGCACTACTTAAGGAACAAGCAATGAATATTACAAGTGAAATACTGATCTCAATTTGTTCGTTAATGAATCGTGATCTTTTACCTCAAGTAGCGACTGTATTTGTTCATAATTGTTCTTCTGCAGTAAAAGAGTTATTACTATTTGTGTCCCGTGAAGTGAAGTGTTACCATTAGCCCTATATATTTTGTTTTTGTTGTTACGCAATATCTTTGAACTGCTTGGGGAATAAATTTCGCAGCCTATCTATTTGTTTCTGTTTCTATTTGTTTTTGCCAGGTCCGCGATTTTCCCGCCAAATTTGGCAATTTTGAAAATAGTGTTGCGGGTAAATATTAGGATGTATTTGGGCTGCTTTCATAATGTTCCGCGGCAGTGGACTGTGACGGGGGAAATTAATTATTATGAATGGTGGCTCCTGGTGCTGAGTAATTCTGAGTTGCTAGCCACGGAAAGTCAGAGACTGACGCTCTCGGAAAGCAGGGTTGCCAGCTCTCACGCATCTGGCGTGACACTCGCGTTCTAACTATTACGTTTACGTAAGAAGTCTTTTGGCAAATCTATATTATTCCATTATAAACCTGACATTAGCGACACCAGAAGCGTTGAGGTAGTTTGCAAACCCTACAAACTATTTCCAAGATAATAAAACTGTTACATATATGTAAATGCGTGTGCAGACTTCTCTCGAATTGAAACTCCAGCTAGCCGGTTCGGACTTGTACTTTCTGGACCTGAACTAGTCATCACTGGAAGGATTTTGCTGGGGCTCGATAAATAACAGCATTGCTGATTTCTTGTTAGAGATTTTATGGCTTTTTACTTTATTTTCATAGAAAAGAATAACATAACGTGACACTTGTATTTGGGAATGTAATTGTAAAACTTTTGTACGACGTAACTTAAAAAAAACAAATGTATCATCTTAAGGCTCTTTCTGAATAATTAAAATTCTCGAAACAGGACCACAATGACACACACACATAAGTAAATTTATTGGCATACATATACAAGGTGTAGTTTGAAACGCTGAAAGGCAGTACCCACAACACATGAAGCCGACTACAGTTCCCAAAATGTCCCATAGTCACGTTCTCCTTTTGCATCATGGGATTTGTAGTGCTCGAATACAGCGTGGGTGTGCAATTATATTTACATCTCAGATTACCTAGATAGTTGTCTCTAAATCAAAACGAATTTCATAAAACTTAAATGTAGCTACATTTGTATTTTAATTATAAGTTTCCAATAATTTTTGCTCCGATTCAAACACAAACTATTTAAGGTGGCTCTATATTACCCATGAAACATTTATAATCACCGTCTGCGCACGTTCCGTACGTTAAGAATGCCCCCTCCCTCCCAGTTTCAGTGTAAGATGGTGGCTGGAAGGTGTTAGTGATACTCAAAGAAACAGATAGAATAAGCAAGCCATTTCGCAACAAAGCAAATAAAGTTGTAAAGTTTTAAAAAAGAGGGAAGCCGAGGTGTCTGTATACACATCTTGAGCTATTCTGAAAGGTAACCGATCCCCGCCCCATTTTGGTGTGAATTTCCCTTGGAGAAGAGTCCTCCAAGCAATAGAAAGACAGGGTGAGTATCCCACAGAAGTCGCCAAGAATCTGCCTCTAATTATAATACGATCAGCCACATCTACGCACACGAACACGAACCACCGTCTCATTACTTGGCCACCGTCTCCAGCTGGTTCCCACTGCACGGCCGCGGGGGAGCGGCGTCTAGCCGATGCCGAGAATGTGTCGCTCTTGGTCGGCGTAGAGTGCCAGGCTCGGCCCCGGCTGTGCAGGCCGCGACTGCTCTGTAGTTAAGCGGGTTAGCCGGCTAACTACCGCCTTCAGTCCGGCGGCCTTGTCGTCTAAAGTACGTGGCACTTTTTGTGTTTTTTACATCTAATCACACGCCACATTGAAAGAAAAATGCCATCCAGAGTTAAGACTCCCCCTATAATCCTGTCCTTGTCGTTGGCGCTTCACCGGCATCGACCAGAGTAACTTTGTTTTACAGTAGTAGCGTTCAACGACAAGCTGTATTGAAATTTGACATTAACGACATTAGTGTCCCTGACAGGTATATCGCCGATCGTTGTTTACGTATGAAGTACTAACTTCAACGGCGCCAGAAAGTTACTGCCCAGCGAAATATCTTGGTCAAATGACCCCGGGTGTCTATTGAAAGTGGGGGTTACTAGAGGGGTGAGTGCTGTCAGTGAATAAATATAATTTCTTTTTAAATGGCGTGAAAAGGATTCAAAGTTTTGGGGTTTTCTGAAATTGTGAAACAGAGAAAATTACATCCAGACAGGGTAGTAATTTCCTGTTCCTCATGGGCGCTACGCGGGTACAGTCAGACGTCCAGGTGGACGCGGCCGGGAGCCCGGTGCTGTGCCGCTGGATCCGAAAGCCTTTTCGTGGTTTAAGCGACGTTTTCTCAGCAGCTGGACTGCTGAATGGTTTTAAGGACTAATACAGGCCAAGTACTCGTTCTCTCCTGTTACTATTGAGACGAACTTTGAGGATTTTTTTTGAGGTCCGTGCGTACATTCGTTGCGTATCTTTTTTTTTTGAATGCCTACGTACCTGTCTTCAGTAGCATATAACAGTGTGCGGTTGGTTGATTAACTAATGTACTACAAACTGAGGGGTAGTTACTAGGTCAGCATCTGTAGGAGAGACAGTCTTGTGCAAATGTAATTGCTGCCTAGCCAAACTGGGAAGCAAATCAGCCATGCTGTACTTGATGTCTGCCCTAAAGGCCTGCGCGGACTAGCTTTGCAGCCCCTGTCAGCAGCTCCACCGATAGTATAAACGTGTCAGGCATGTAAATCGCACCTTCAAGTGCACTGCAAGTCTGAGGTAGCAGGAACTGTCATCTGATGGTAAAATTTAAGACACACACGCAAGAATTGTTGATGTATTTCATTTCTGCTTGGAATTTTCCTGGCTGGTATATTGTAAATAGTGTATTGAACTGAGTGCTACTTTACAGTATGTAATTAATTCAATTTCAAATACACATTCATTTGTTTTGTAGCATTTCTTCAGGTTGAGCTTGCCTTGATTCTGTTATCTCGTTTCATTTTCTGTTGGTGAAGGTTAAAAGGCTCTATTTATAGTGTTTGCATACACCAAGTAGCCACAGCAGGTGTGGACCAGTCACAGATTACCCCCTGTGGATCTCCGTCTCATTTTGTCGTAACCTGGATATATGCTCATGTGTAATATTCATGCCTTACAGAATTTCAGTGTTTTAAAAATATCTAATTTTGTAGCTGTTTCATGTTTAACATTCGTCCAAGTCTCTGACATCCTACCTCTAGTGAACAGTATACTAATGGAGTAAGTAATGTCCCTTATATACCACAATAAATACCAGAACCTTTCAGTGAATGTAAAGTTTTACAACTCTTAGTAAATGTTCTACTGGTGCTTCAGTGTTCCACAAATATCTGTACTGTTCTGTCTCGACATTAGTGTCCCTGACAGGGGCATCACCGACAGTTGTTTACATATGAAGTGTTAACTTCAACGGCGCCAGAAAGTTACTGCCCAGCGCAATATCTTGGCGAATTGACCCTGGGTGTCTCTTGAAAGTGGGGGTTACTAGAGTGGTGAGTGCTGTCAGTGAATAAACATTTTAATTTTTTCTTTTAAAGTGTGTGAAAAGGATTCAAAGTTTTGGGGGTTTCTGAAACTGTGAAACAGAGAAAATTACAGCCAGACAGGGTAGTAATTTCCAGTTCCTCATGGGCGCTAGACATCCAAGTGGACGCGGCCGGGTGCTGTGCCGCTATTTCCGAAAGCCTTTCCGTGGTTTAAGCGACATTTTCTCAGCTGCTGGACTGCTGAATGGTTTTAAAGACTAATACAGGCAAAGTTCTGTCTCATTACTGGGTGAGTGTATGTTGATGTCTTCCTCTGTATCCCTCTGAGAGCCTGCAAGTCAATCGTTATCAGACTGAAGGTGGATCGAACTATGAGGCTCATCCCACAGGAAATCAGGCTCTCATCGCAAACTGAACTGGGCTTGTGAGACATTCATAGGGATTCTGTTATCAGAGGCAACTTTAAACTATTTAAGTAAACGAGGTCACAGCATTCTACAAGCTATGCAAGGCTGCTTTATTAGGCAAACAGGAGGGGTGTGCAAACATTACATGCTATGTTGCCCAGTAAACACTGGGGCTCATTGGCTTTGACTGGGAAGTTTGCTGTGATGGAGGAGAACTGGGTTAAGTGGACTATGTGCAAATTAGTATATTTAGGCCCAAAATTGAATAATGATCACAAAAAAATAGGCAACAGCTTCACCTCAGTGGCGTAACTAACATTTATTTGATGGGCCACTTAAGCATCCGAAGTTTAATCTTATTGGGAGTGAAAACAGTGAGCACCAATAGCACTTCATTGGTGAGCCACTTTCGTAAATGTCTGTTTAGAAGGACTTTGAGCTGAACTGTTCGAAACTGTCAGTCTGGTCAGTATATTTTAGATAAACTCGTCAGCTTCCATTTTCTTAACTTTACTGCCATAGAATAGCAACTTAATTACTCATATTTCAATAAATGCTCGTTTGAAATCAGTACAGTTGCCCTAGTTGCTTGTTAGCCTTTCTATGTGCTGTAAGTGAGCTGAATTGTATCTGCTGATCAATCACGTGAGGTACACTCGCTGAACCTGTTAACTCCTGTCAGGGTAGAGAGTCCCCTACAAGCTAAGGAGTAGCACAGAGTCGCACCCTTAAGGAGTTATGGTTGATGTCGTTTGCCACTGTGTGACAGATGGTACTTTGATAGCTTTAGCTTTCCTTCTGTTGTCAGTCATTTAAATTTGATGTGAGTTGATGCCGGATACGTGCTGAATGCATCGATTCGTGATGTTCAGAAAACTTGAGTGAACTTTTGTGGCTTTTTAGTCTAAATGCATGTGAAGATTTGTGAGTGGGGCTTTGCTTCCCAAGTTCATTGTGTGTGTGTGTGTGTGTGTGTGAGAGAGAGAGAATTTGTCTGCATCATACCGCTTCTGCTTTGCAGTTTGTTTACCTGAGTGTCAAAATACATCTGTTTGTATTTCAGAAAATGTAGTCATCTCAGTATCTTAATATAACTGAAGTATCATTTGTAACTACTAAAGTACTTGTTTACACACCGCTTTGCTTAAATATAACAGAGGGAAGCTAAAGTGTTAAGAGTTTATTATGAACCTTAAATCCTGCTTAACTTACCTCTGGTGCATCTTATAAAATGCGGTAATGCATGACGCGCCATTTGGGTGACTGACCTTCATTACATCACTCATATTTTGTCATGTGATTTTTGGTTAATGACAGAGAAGAAATGTGGGTAGATCGGACATTAAGCAAGTTTTATTCACGTGCGTATTTTCTGCATGGTAGCATTTCCCAGATCTATTATTACAGTGCTTGTATTGTATTTAACATCATTTTTCGTCTCCCCTTCAAAATTGCAAACTCACAACAAAATTTAATCAGCAACATATGCTAGAAGCCTGCAGATAACTTTCCCCTCAGCCGTATATAAGCTTCTCCTAACTGGAACACATTCATGATGCAGGTTTTTCTCGACCATATTTGCATTATCGTGGACTTTTTTGTACTCTGCCGCAGGCTCATTCCCCTCTAATTGGGAAATGAGTTAATCTTGATGAGCCACTTTGAAATTTCCAGGTTCTCCTGAGTAGAGTGGAGAATCATTAAGTGTGACAGTGGATAACAAGGTTTTTACGTCTGCTTCAGATGCCAGTGAGCCTGTAGTTTTCATTGTCTGCTGGAGGTTCTGACTTCATCTGACATCATGTTCTCCGGAGCACCCTATGGGTAAATAAAGCACTTTAACTGTCTCTGCCCTTGTAACGACACAGCTTGTCTGTCTCCCCCAGCCCCGCCCCTGTGCCTTGTACCCTGCCCACCGTGTTATAGGATGTCCCGCAGCCCTGAGCTGAAAGACGATGCTATGGAGTGCCCTCTCTGCATGGAGCCGCTGGAGATCGATGACATCAACTTCTTCCCCTGCACCTGCGGTTACCAGATCTGCCGGTTCTGCTGGCACCGGATCCGCACAGATGAGAACGGGCTCTGCCCTGCCTGTAGGAAGGTAGCGCGCAATCTGTAGTGACTGAGCTACCCTGTCTGTGGAGTAGAGGGGTAACATCTGTATATGGTGCTTACTAGCCAACACCGGGACTCGTGCTTGATCTCCTCCGTGGACCAGTAGTGTCACATGACCTGGGCTGCTCTCTTTGAGTGTTAAATATAGCATACATATTTAAGGTGCTTAAAACATCTCCTTGTGTTGCTATACTGTGACACATAGATTCTCAATGGTAATCTCAAGCATCTGTGATCGTTTGCTCAGCCCTGCTACATGTGCAGTCTCCGTCATCTGATTACAGTCGTGGGACATCAGTGACAAAGAGGTTATAATATGACATGTTAGGTGGGGGTAGAGCCAGGCCTTAAGAGCTCCCATTCTTGCACAGCCCTACCCAGAAGACCCGGCGGTCTACAAGCCTCTCTCGCCGGAGGAGATCCAGCGGATAAAGAATGAGAAAAAGCAGAAGCAGAACGAGCGCAAACAGAAGATGACAGAGAGCCGCAAACACCTGGGAAGTGTGCGTGTGGTGCAGAAGAACCTGGTGTTTGTGGTGGGGCTGTCACAGAGGCTGGCTGAGCTGGAGGTAAGGGACCCTTACAGAGGACCTCCACTCTCTAAAAGATGCTAATGCTAGTCTGATCCTGTTTAGAATTCTTGGGCAAATCAGGACCTAGTCTATGTAAATGTTGGTCTGACTACCTAATTTTTAAACTATTATCTGGCCTCTCTTCTTTGTCTGCCTTGCCCACAGATGCCACCCAAGGCAAGATGTTATGTCAACATCTAATTTCTCACCTCTTATAGTTGTACGTTCTTTGACAGCTTTGGACTTAACAGCCTTGTGTAATATTTTGGTGATTTGCTTTGGAGTCTGGAATGTCTTCCTAGTTCCGCTTGCGCAGACTTACCAGCCGAATAGCGCAGGCTCAGCGAATGAGCGCTCTCGGCACCTTGTCTGGACTTTCAGGTTCTAAAGAGGCCAGAATATTTCGGGAAATTCGGAAAAATTCACAAAGTGGTAATCAACAACAGCACATCTTACGCGGGTTCCCAGGTAAGCGTAGAGGCATCGTCCTCTTTACAAAAAAAATTCTTTAGATGGCCTAGTCTGCCTAATAAGTACATATTTTTTTTTCTTTATATGGTTTTATTGGGTTAGTTTATTAGGATGTAAATCATAAATCACGTTCCTGTGTTAAATAGTATGCATTTTAATGTAAGGTGGTACTTATGTTGGCAATAGTCAGTGGAGGTGAATATGGCTGTACTGTAACTCCCAGGGTCCTAGTGCCAGTGCCTATGTCACATTCCTTCGGTCTGAAGACGCCCTCAGAGCTATACAGTGTGTGAACAATGTAGTGGTGGATGGCAGAACACTTAAAGTAAGTCTGAGCTCCTGCCGGCTGCCTGAAGGCTTCTCGCTTGTGGTTTTGGTAAAGCGAATGCCTTTCCCCTTAGGCTAACATGACGTGTGTGTGTGTGTGTGTGTGTGTTCGTTCCAGGCCTCTCTAGGTACGACGAAGTACTGCAGTTACTTCCTGAAGAGCATGCAGTGTCCGAAGGCGGACTGCATGTACCTCCACGAGCTGGGGGACGAGGCGGCCAGTTTCACGAAGGAGGAGATGCAGGTCGGTTCCAGCTTCAGTCCGTGAGCCGCACGCGCTGCTGCGCTCGTGCTCTGCGATCCGTCCTGTGCTCAGCCTCCCTGTGTGTGTGTGCAGGCAGGAAAGCACCAAGAGTACGAACAGAAGCTTCTACAAGAGCTGTACAAAGCGAACCCCTGCTTCCTGCAAAGCTCAGCCGGGGCCGGCGAGAAGTCAAAGGGCAAGTCCAGTTCAGCGCAAAGGTACCTTTCTCATGGCGATACAAAAGTAAATATCAAGGTGCGGGAACATGAGAACTACTGCCAGTTGATCTGTTTCCTGAGTGCAAATTTAGCAGCATAGATTATTTCCCCATTACTTGGTCACGTTTAAGCACATATTAAACATCTTCTTCTGTGCGCTGTAGTGGCGCCCCCTGCTGACCACCCCTGTCAACCTTACCAGACCCAACAGTAGCAGCAAAGAGGCGTGGCCGTGGCTGCAGGGCTCGGGCAAAATAGCCAATGGGCTGGGCGAGCACCACAAGACTCCGCCCCTATTGGACGGCTCCGACTCAGAGCACATGACTGGCAGCGGGCCAGACTCGGACTTGGGGCCAAGCCAAGGGGCCATGCCCTCCCCCTATTCACACTGCGACCCTGCCAGGTATGCCTGCCTCAGGCACTGCCACTTCCTGTTTGCCCAGAAATACTCTTTTTGTTGATTATTCTCTGTAATATAACAAATGTTATCAATACTGACTTAATTTAATTCGTCATTGACACGAAGAACTTTGCTTTTCACCAGTTTTCCTTTTTTTATGCTCCTGCTCTTAAATTAAGGCGTCGATTTGCCTGCCCCAGCTGGGCACTTGTGGAAATTTTAACCCTGCTAATCCTTCTTTTTCATTTTGCCTTTCAGTCCCAGCGAAAAAACACCACAGACCATTAGTATAGGGAACGGGGAAAGTATACAAGTAAGATATACTTTTTTTTTTTTGGACCTCCTAACGCATATGGGCTCGTTTTTGTTGTGTGCAGTATGTCAGCATGACTGTGACTTGACTGTGACTTGACTGTGACTTGGGAAGCCATCAACTGGTCAGTAGCACAGGCTGGCATTAGCTGACTCGCTGTCACTCTCACCCTGACCTGCACACACTCTCTGTCCTCTTGCTCACACACTGAATCTCTCTGCACACCACATACCTGAGGGACACTACCCCCCTCCCCCCCCAGGCTGATCTATTTGTTCAGCTTGTGTCAACCTTAGCAAGTGTCATCCATGCGTTGGAGGTTCAGCTCCTCTGCATTTCTCTGCATGTGAGTGCACGCATTCAGAAATGCTGAGCTGCAGCATCCTGCTAAAATTGTTCTGCAGTTTTATTTCAGACAAGCTGCTCACAGCTTCAGTTATTAGTTTCTGTTGGCTTGTGCCGTACAGTTGCACTATCCTTGTGCTGCATTATCGTCTTCCTGTTAAATTTTGGTAAGGTAATTGGTAATTTGGTAATTTTGCATTATTTCTGGAAAAACTGATTAGCAGTATTAAAGGCTGTGAAAATTCACGTGTAACCATAGCAGCATGAATCAGGCAGATCGTATGAACTCTAAAGGGTTAAAAAAAAATTGATGGGGTAGGTTAAGTAGTTCCAAGGAATAAAAAAATCGTACAAATGTAATTTTGGTTTGAGCACTTAACCTGCTAACCTAAATATTTTGCTTAAAATTCTATATATAACCACTTCTTGTTTTTTCTTTTTATTATGCATTTGTTACAAAGAAATTTTGGCTTTTTACAAAATGAAAAATACCTTTTAAGTTTGAGAGAAATCTTTTGTATTGTCACCTCTACAATGGAAGAGTTTAATACAAAAGTGTCAAATTATTTTGAGTCAAACTGAGGTCTATTTGTACATGGCATAGTCCAGAAATTTACGGCAGAATGATCTCAGAGGCTGCCTGCGTTGAGTTTGAGGGCTCAGATCTTACCTGGCACAGGGGCTGCCAAGTGCCGTCACTGCCGGGTGTCTGGAGGTCAAATCGTGTGGCTGCTTCATATCCAGCAGTTAGGGTTGCTTATTCCGCACTCACTGTTTCTCAACCCATGAATATGAACCAGTAGATAAAGTCCGGAAATGATTCCTTGTGTGAGCTAATTTGCTAATTGTTTTTTCTTTTTTGTTAGTTAAAATGTTTTAACGTTCCCCTTTCCTCCAGAACCACGGCACTGAGTCCCCTTCGCCGCCTCCGGGCCTGACTAAGCCTGGACTGGTCGTGCCCATCAGCATGTCCAGCCTCGCTGCCCGATCCCCCTTTGAAGGGGCGGCAGCCGAATCCCAGTCACTTTTCTCGGACAACAGCAACTTCCGGCACCCCAACCCTCTCCCAGGTGGCCACGCCCCCCCTTCCGGCCCAACCCAAGGGCACTCCGATTGGCCCACAGCACCCGAGCCCCAGAGCCTCTTCACGTCAGGTACGTTTCTGCCGTGTAGCTTGGCCACTGGGCTCCCCCTCCTAGTGTGGTATAATGCTTTTGCCCGCTTCCCCCCGCAGAGACCATCCCGGTGGCGTCGTCCACGGATTGGCAGGCGGCGTTCGGCTTCGGCTCCTCCAAGCAGCCTGAGGACGACCTTGGCTTTGACCCTTTCGATGTCACTCGCAAGGCGCTTGCCGACTTAATCGAGAAGGAGCTTTCGGTTCAGGACACGTCGCAGTTGTCTCCTGGGGTTCTGCAGGGGACTCTGCGTCGCCCCCTTCACGGGCCCCTCCCCCCGCACCTGTCACACCTGCAGCACCGCGCCGTCTTGGGCTCCTGCGGTTTCCCGGGGCATCCAGCACGTCACCCGTGGCTCGGTTACCCGCCGCACGGGAGCCCGCTAAACCACACAGCCGGCCTCAGCGCCAACAGCCGCCTCATGGACTTTCTACCAGTGCAGCACAGCACTGGGCTGGGGGGCGTTCCCACTGCAGGTAGGGAACCCCGAAGGGGCAGAGGGGACATGCTGCACTGTCAGTGATTTCAGGAGGATGATGGGCTTATCCTGAAGATTCAGGGAAATTTCTCTGTTGTACACTTGCCTAAGGTTCTTAACTAGTTGGCTATATTAATTCTGTCAAACTAACAAAATATTTTTTAGGTGTGGTAGTAGAATTCGTTAAAATGAACGCAGTTCTCTGAGTTACCACAAGATGCCAGCAAACTCCTGCTTTAGTTATCATAAACTTGTCTAGATTAAAATTTATTTCATAAATGGTATCTTATTGAATTTAAATTAGATGTTATATTAATATTCAGTAATTTGGTTTTGTACATATGAGGGAATCAAATCTGCAGTGTCTTCTGTAAGTCACCAGGAGTCACTGGTAAGTCTTGTTCTACTGTGATTGGTTGGCCGTTCCGTTCATCTCTGAAGTTGTGCCTTTGCTGCTTCTGAGTGGTTACTGTAAATAAACCCTGGAAGGCATTTTGGTCTCCTGTTGTCTTGTGGACCTTTCAGTCTTTCCTTGTTGTCACTGGCTGAGAAGAGCTGTTGTTTTTTCCTGGCTAAAAGAAAAACTTTTTTTGTGTGTTTTAGCAGCATAACAGCAAAGAAATAGATGCAAAGTTAGGATTTGATTACTCTAAACAGGTCTGCCATTTAAACTAGCAACGTGAGACCTTTATTGTATGAATAAATTTGTGGATTTTATTGGCATTTACATTGTCACACATCTGTTATGATGATGAAATGAAAATGAAAAACTTGTAATGAGGTTGTAAGACCTGGCTGATAATATTTGCAGTCTCGCTGTGGCTCAGTAATGGACACTCGTCTTGGAAAACATCAAGTGTTGTTTTGTGGCACGCTGATAAATTAGCACTTGATACTCACATTTGACAAAATATTTTTTTTCTTTCTCTCTTCTACAGAAAATAGCAATTCTATAGAAAATCTAAATATGAAAGAATGGCAGGATGGTTTGCGAGCTCTTCTGCCCAACATCAATATCAATTTCGGGGGACTACCGAATTCCTCCTCATCCCTGCCCCCCTCCATCATTAACCACACAGGGGTTCCAGTTGGCTCAGGGGGCATGTCACACAGTCTTAGCTGGGACGGAATGGTCAGATGGATGGACCCGGCAATCATTACAGGTAACCAGTCAGAATTTATCAGCCAATAAGGAGTGTTCTAAGTGGCTATCCATGACAGCCAATAGCAAAGGGGTATGCGTACCAAAGCCTTCTGCATGATACGAATGGCTGCATTTCTGATTTGGTTAAATGTAATCTTATTGAATATTTACAGCATACAGGAAATGTTGTTGCTGTCCTCTGGGCAGTGTTTAGCTGAGAGGGGAAGGTCATAAGTTCAAGGGTTATGATATCAGCATTGGGCCCCTGAGCGAGGCCCCTAACCCCCAGAGTGATGTCACTATTGGGCCCTTGAGCGAGGCCCCCGATGCCCACTGCTCCCAGGGTCCTGACTGACTCTGCTCTCTGACTCCAGATACGTTCCTCATGTGTGCTGCTTTGGACAAAAGCTTCTGCTAAATATGTGAATGTAAAGATGCTCTTATTTGGGATCCTTCACAGAAAGCATGACCCCGCTGTAGCATAGACTGTTGGGGACTAAGACTGATGTTCAAGGCTAAATGCTTTCTTCTCACCCACCTGCTGCAGGTATCCCAGCATCCGCAGCCCACAGTTTGGACTCTCTGCAGGATGACCCACCTCATTGGCTGAAGTCCCTGCAGACGCTCACTGAGATGGAGGCGCCCGGCTCCACAGTGCCCCCACTGGCCCCCCACAGTATACCCTTCAGTGCACAGTTCCCAAATCACAGAGCTGGCTGGGCTGCCACACCCACTGGCCCCTTCCACTCACCCCCACCTGGTTTCCAGACAACATTCAGACCTCCAGTCCAAACAGCCACAGACCTGCTACAGAGTACTTCCATGGACCGCCACTAGGGGAGCATAACCACACAATCCGCACATCACAAAACTATTAACACCATAACAAATACTACGTTTTCCTGCTTCTGTTTTCATTGTTTCGTGTTTATTTCCTTTTGGCTTGTGGCCATACCTATCTCTCTTTCTGCCCCCCAGGTTGAGCACACAATGGTTCATTCACCAAAACATCCGAACCTTAACTAGAAACACTGGGGGTGTGGTAATGATGCCAGAAGGTTATTCAAAGAAAATAACACGGGGGGGATTTGATTTCAGCATAATTCAGTTTGATAAAGGGGAAAAAAACATCCCCCCTCTGTTCCCAGACGTCACAACACTGGAAGTATCCAGCCTTTGGGATTTGGCTAAGGTGCTCCTTGCTGTGCTGTTTTTACCCTGTGAAGGTAATTATGAACAGGCAAGCTGCCAGAGGCCTTTTTGGGCTGTAGAGCAGCTAGGACTAGTCTGCATGTGGGCAGCAGGGGGTGCTATTTCCCCTAAGAGTGACACAGTTAGACCTCTGTATCAGAGGGGCTGTGTGCTGATACACCTGAAGGGCCCTGTAGTAATGGGATGCAGACAAAACGTGCAATTTCTTTTGGGAAACAAGGTGCCACTATGTGGTATCCGTGGTAACTGCCCTCATTGTAGCGCCCCTGTTGCTGTGCAGAAGCGATGGTAGGAGGCCCACGCGATGAGCTGAGGGGGAAATCCTTTCAGTCAGTGCAGAAGAAGCCAGTTATTTTGAACGAGGCCAGCCCTGATGACTCGTCGATTCTCTGATGACATCATGGGTAAGGGAATCCCTGTTGGTACATTTGACCAGTCATGAGTGAAAAGTCATGCTGCTGGAGCGATACAAAGGATATATACTAGTTTTTTTGTGTCTTGGCTTAGTTGGCTACCTCCAAAAAAATAAATAAAACGAAATCCTCAAGCTGAAGCAGTTTCTAGGGGCAGACTAGGGTCTTTGTGGAGACTGGAGCGGATGTGGTTCTGCCCTGGAGCTTTTGAGTGAGCCACACCAGTGGGGCTGTCTCCGTTCCTGTCTCCGTTCCTGTGTTTCTCGCAACGGTCCTTGGCTGCAGTCTGCCATCTGCTCAGTATTAAAGACAATAGAAAATAAATTCAAAACAAGCGATACAGTTAGCTATGGGATATACGATTTTAGACACCTGTTTAACGAAGCTCTAAATGATGTGTGCCCCTCTCCCCCCCCCAAACACAGGTCTGGAAAAACTAAATATTAAATAAATGCAAACTTGACACTGGTGTTTGTCTGTCCTTTCCAACCTCATTTGTCTTAATTGTCTTGCTAATGCAGCTGCTGGTACAGAGATCATGAGTGAGACCTGGGTAATGACAAGGCTGGAGTAAAAAGCAGTCATATCCTTTATTTATTGTTAAACAATTACAGGATGTCTCCTACCCTTGTCTTTGTACCAATGTCCAAAATCCAGCTGCAAGAGAAGTATGGTGTTCAGAGCATGATGTTTCCTGCTCCATCCATGCATTCACATGAAGCTGGGTTCTGTGCTTGAATATGGTGATTTAGCTTTGAGTCATTTTAGCTTGATGTTCCTGTAGTCTGAGGAAAATCAAGGAAATGAAAAGCCTGTGGCAAGACTGACTCCATCACTAATCGGGTCTTGTTTTTCTTTTTAGTCCCGGATTTGATTATCACTTTGCTTTTCCTTATAGGTGAAGGAATCTGGTCATTTCACGAATTGTCTCTTACAACCATCTAAGACCTACTAGTCTCAGAACAGATTGTCTTTTAAGCTCATAATATGCTTCTATCTCGGCGATGGCTAAGAGCTAAGGTGCTTTTATTGAGTCAGGTCCCCCCCCGTTCTCCCCCCCCCCCCTTTTCTGGAATACAGCATGGACTGAATTATAGTGTACATTGTGCCTCTGGAGACGCTCTGCAGTCTGTACTTGTGTAACTCTACAACGCTTCATCAGACTACAGTCCATTGAGGGCCCTGAATTGCTTCGAGGAAAATGTACCCTTAATGGTGGAAATAGCCAACATCCTCTTCACTTTTTTTTTGTCCATAGTATAATTTTACAGCTATTTACATGTGGGGAAACCTGACGAGAGTGCTTGAAGTTTGACATGCTTAATGGGTTACGTTCAGCACTCTCAAGAAACCGCGTTCAGATTTGCACTAGAAAGAGGAAACTGTTGACATGACACTTTGGAAAGGGTTTGAAAAAGTAATTTGTGATCACAAGCTCAATATAGCAAAAATGTGAATTTTTGTTTTCCCTTCCTCCCATTTTGTTTGGGGAAATTCAACGACAAGCATAATGGTTTTCACGAAAACTTTCCCAGAAGAGAATAGGACCCCCCCGCCCCCCCAGGTGAAATAAGGACTCCTGCTCCGGAAAAGCCTGGTAGAACTCGGATAATCCCACTGTCTGTCCCGTGCAGATTTCCACGCTTTTTGGGAATGGTTCCCTAAGGAAGCAGAGGGTTTTCTGTCCATTATGTTACAGGCCAGGCTGCTTCTTTCTCAGCCTTCAAGCTAAACCGCATCTCTTAATTCCTTCCTTTTGAAATATCCTGAAGCAGAATCCTGTCCTTCACAATAGAGGTTGACTTGTTAATCTGCAGCACTTGTTATTCAGACGCTGTCGAGTTCTGTTTGGGAAGCTGCCGTCACACAACGTTCTGTTCCAGTCTTTTGGCAAAACCTAGCAAAGGCCCCTGTTTGAACACACGCATTTTTTTGCACGTCGTTTACGCTGCCCAAAATGTACATGGTGCACCCCCCCCCCCCTCTTTTCACACGCTGAAACGGTGCAGAGAGGTTCAGATTCCTCAGCACACGGTCCCGTTTTCAGGCCGCGTCTTGGAGCACTGGGACGGCACAGGTTGCATAGAGGGGGCCAGGGTGCAGAAGAACCCGGCGATAAGCGTCAGCCCCAGCCCCCCCCAGGCGCAGAACATGGACCAGCCGTAACCGTGGGCGATATCGTCGGGCAGTCCATACAGGTAGCGTGGGTAGCGGGAGAACTCGAAGTTGATGCCGGCCACACAAGTGCAGAGGGAGATTATGCAGAAGGTGCCTTTGGAGCAAAGACAGAGCAGAATGGTCAGCGGACGGCTACTCGGCCCGGTGCCGACAATGTGCAGCGATTCCAGACCCACTCACCACCCATGAGGAAGAGCAGTCCAGCCACATACTGCATGAGACCCTGATCCCAGCAGCCCCCCAACAACCCCACCAGCCATCCGAAGAGGATAATGGCCCCCGCCATGCCCATGAATCCGGCTGTCATCCGCCGCAGGTCTGTGGGAGCAAAGGCAGGCTGAAGAGCGAGCGGTGCTTGTGTGTGAGGTAAACCCGTCACCCAGCCTTCACTGGCTGAACCTTGGTTCAATTATTGGTCGTTATTGTTACTATTATTTTTGTTTTATCTGTCCAGTATATCACAATGGATTGATCCAGCTTATTTCTTACTAGGTTTATTTATTCTTTGAGCCTGTATCAGTAGCCAGTATTGTATCTGATTTGGGCTTCCGATGTACTGGACAGAAGATTACGCTCCGCGCAGGACTGAAGGACAGAAGCTCAGCTTCTCACCGGCCTGCGGGTGAACTGGGAGGTTAGAAGTGAAGCTGCCTAATCACTGGATCTGAAGCGAGATCCACGTTGCTGGAAGTTGTACAGCTCAGGGGTTTTCAGCTTTTCTTAAAACAGAACCCCCCCCCCCCCCAATGAAAACAGACCGGTGCTAGGAATACTCCCCCACTAATGTGAGATTGCATGAATTATTAAGAACTAAAGATCCGGGGACTTCAATACTTCTTTCCCCATTGGGGGGCCCTTTCAATAGTTTTCGCTCTGAGTGGGAAGCCTTTAGTTTAATTTTTGCATGTTGAAAGCCCCTGTTGTGGTGGACGATGTGAAGTATCACTAGACTATAAATGAAGGATTCAATGGGATTAACAGGCAGTACGGCCAACCTGATCTTATTATGAACAGGTTTGCTCTGAGAGGCCTACTTTTCATGTCAAATACATATTAATGATTCAAATACAGAATCCATTGGTCCTAGAACTCCTAGAATATGGTCACAGATGTAGTAACACATTAACCCTAAATGTTAGATTGGCTGCTTATGACAGGCAGGAGTGAGAGTGTTGTGGGTGGTGTGTGCAGGGTGCGTGAGTAGTTATTCTTTCCCAGTAAGGAACAGGCACTGGGCCAAACAGGGGTCTACAGCCTGCGAATATGACCACCCACTAAGCTCGCGCTGAGCTCCAGCCCTCAAGGGATGACCTAGAATGAGTCAAACCACAAGTATTGTAGAGCATAAATCTGAGTATATTACATTTGCTGGAATAACTGACCCTTCAGTATTATGAAGCACTATCAAGCAGAAGCAGGGACCATTTTAATACCTCTATAGGAAGAGTTTCTGTATCTCAAATTACAAATAGCACTTGGCTTTCCAGAGGTGAAAGGTTCATCAGCTCAAAGTTGTAATATTACTCATGATAATAATCTGGATCTGCTGTAGTTCAAAAAAAAAAAACAAGCTGAAAATACCTCTGACCTTGGAAAAACGCGACCCAGAGCTCACTGCACCTGCTTCTCCTGCTTTTATTCTCTCCTTCTAATTTTCAGACACAGCGGGGAATTCAGAGTTGCTGATGATTAATAGGCTGACCGCATGCAACACTTCAGGCAATTAGGGAAGAACTGACCCCAGAAGGTTATCAGTAATCACTCCTATTTTCTGCCACTCTCCGAACAATGCCTGCCTATTAAAGTGAACCATACTATTCAAAGCACTTAAGTGCTGTATTTCAAACTTTATGATCTGATTATCTCCTCCACAGCCTAGGTGCCCTGTCCAAGTCTGTCCGTACCCTGCAACGGTGCTCCTTCTTTTAATTATAGCTTTTGCTTGCTTGTTCTACAGAAGGTAATATGGTGAAGCAGGTCCACTGTACTTTATAACTTATGTCTCATGATATTTGTCTTGCACGCCGCGATCTGTTACCACAATAATTCCAAGTACGAACCTTGCAATCGCACACAGCATAGAGGACAAAACCCCTTGATAAAGACGTGAGCATTAGCAGGATGTGATAATCAGCTAGAATTAGAGTCAGATGAACACGTAGGATGCTCCTGTAGGGCTGAGAACTTACTCGCTGTGACCTCCAGAATGCAGCACGATCAGGCTGGGGGGGACAGGAACCGCAGCGGGAATGTGCTTGGAGCCGTCACCTGCTACATGGAGGCCAAAAGCGCTCACCTACTCATACCTGCTAGTACTGTAGGTACGTTCAAGGCATCCAAATTCAGAGCTCCAGTGATAGGCCGCTATAACAGGCAGTTCCCAGGCTACAAACGAGATCCGTTCCCTCTGTCTGTCTTTAAGTCGAATTTGTAGGTAAGTCAGAAAAATTATGATCAGAGGTGGAGATTTCAGGTCCAGAGAGTACAAATCCAGACCAAGATTTTGTTTCAACCAACCAGTTGAGTATAAAGAGTCACAGTCACAGAGTACTCAACTGGTTGGTTGAAACAAAATCTTGGTCTGGATTTGTACTCTCTGGACATGAAATCTACACTTCTGATATTAATACAGTGCATAATAATTGTAATAATTATACAGTAATAATAAAAGTAACTAAAAAGTAAGTATTGCATCGCGATCCAATGAAGCGCGATGTTTTCACGAGCATCACAAAGTGTGTGCTTTGCTTATTAGGAACCATTGTATTTATCTGGAACCTTTAATATAATAGGCTTTATGGTAGGTCATTTGTAAGTATGAGTTGTCCGTTGGGTTGAACATATTGAACAGTATGGTCAGTCGTGCCTAAACAGTAATTTGTATAATAATGAAGAAACAAGCAAAACATATGTTAAATATGCTAAAATGTCAATTTAACATATATGTCCTGATTTATTTGGTAATTACTAAACCAGGCAAAACGGAGCCAAACCCCCCATGTTCAGTTAGATGTGAAGACCCGGGGTGTGTAGGTGAGCAGACTAAGTGCAGTTCTCATACGTAAGGCGTGCCACTCGTCCTGTCTGATGGTCTTTGTCATGTTGTAGGAGAGATTCTTCGGGATGTTGGCTGCAGAATAATGGTATTTGATGTAGGAACATCTTGCAATAGAACCTGTGGACAAAAAAGAAAAATGAGTCTGGAAGTTAGCGGAGTGTGTGAAGGTAGTGTTTTATAGTCTTTGACCTCAGGAGCATCCATTGTGCTGCTGGAACTGTCCTGACACCAGAAGGCTGTTGAACAGACCCAGTTCTGTCTCCAGTCCAAGATCTAGTACCATTTTCTGTTGGTTGATGGCCAATTTCTCACTTTTAAAGCAGTTCCATCAATTAAAAGTAAAACTAATTTTCCTTGCTACTAATGGGTATTTAGCCCGTTGCTATAAACAAAGAATGACTGAAGATATGAAGAAGTTGCTCCTTTTACAGTCCAACATGCCCTTGAGTCCTGAAGGCCCAAGATATAGTTACCAATATACAGGAAGATGACTGCACACATATTAGGGTTGGACCAGCGAAGGATGCCAGCATCCCTCCAAAATGACTGACAGATATCATGGTGTAGAGCCAACGTCACGATCCCCCCACACGCGTTAGGCTAACTACTTGGCCAGATTTCAACAGCTTCAAATAATTAATTACTTTTTCTGCTTACATAATAATAGCCATAAAAGACAGATAAAATGTTTGTATAAATTGATATTAAAAAAAGAAGTTGTTTCCAATCACACGTTATTTGGAATAAAAGCAGAACAGCACACTTTATAGGCTAAAACATTCCATTTTACATTAAAAATTGTTCAATTAATTCAATTGAATAGAGAAGATTTTGCTGTGCCAAAAATGTGAAATGACGTGGTACCTTTTTAGTGATCGAGCCTGTCAATGCCCTCAGTACATCACTATGACTGAAATAGTCTCAAATAATTGCATACTTTAGTACTTAAACTTGCTATTTTCAGTGCAGAAGAGGGAAAGTACGACCTACCCTCCGATGTCATCGTCCATCACAACATTAAACATGTTAATGTTAATGTCAAACATCGCCATATGCCAGTTATGCAGACATCGCCCATCCTTAACACATATAGGTCAAATTGCTGACCCTGTTTCTCAATTGTACGAAAATTTAGATAAAAGCATTTGCAAAATAAATGCGTTAAAAAATGTAAAAGAAAAAAGATGATTAGTAACATCAGACTGGAGATGGTGTCGTGCCGCTGTAGAAAATTTGGTAACATTTTACTCAGTTACTACTCAAGTACAAATCATTACCTAATATAGTTCCTGCATGAAATACAGGAACCGTCATGACTGATTAATGACGAATGAACATGGGATAAGTGCATAATTAACACTTAGTTACTGGTTAATTAATACAAGTAAGAGTGTACTGCTGTTATTTGTGCCCACTCAGGTAAAGTGTTACCAAATCTGAAGCTGTTTTGCCAGTGAGGACACTAACCACAGGTGTGCAGTAAATCCGCCTTCGCTCTACTGTATTGTAGAGGAAATGAAAGACTCACAAGATGAATGGATCAGAGAAGCGTGCAGTGCATACCTCTTCCCATTCTCTACCAGAACATGTAAATTCAGTCACTCTGTCACTCAGATGATTTATCGTTCAAGAACGTGTCAAAAACAATCGAGTGAACTGATAGGGTTCTGCACCAGGCACCAAGCCAGGACACGTCTCAGTCCTCTCCTGTGAATCGCATTACCTGCCCTATAGGCAGTGACACAGGATCAAAGGTGAGGCCAGAAGCCATCTCAAGCACTACAGGAGATGAGAGAACCTCCCACTGGGCTAAAGGAACTGGACAGAGGGCCAGCAACGTAACGATACTTCCGGACTGTTTAAAAGCATGGATCCAGGAAAGGAGTAATGCAACGTGAGGGCCCTAACACAATCAGGAGAGCATGTTGACAGCAATGTTTAAACATTAAATGTAGTCGAATTTTACCGCCAAGCACCCCAGCCGCCCATCACCGATTAGCAGATTATTGACGTTGCATCATTTTTACTTCTCTCTTATTCCTCTTTCAGCTCCAGAAAACAAACCCATGAACCCGTCACATCAACCCAGAGCCCCCAGAGAAGTTAATCCACCCACACGCAGGTTCATCATGGCCCAGACCGCTTACGGTAGGTTCTGAAGGGGCAAGTTCACCTTAAGCGATTCTCACGTCTAACTGGGCGTGTTGGGAATCACGAAACTTTCTAAACCTCAGAATCATTATTATGGTTAAAAAAGAAAATCAGATATATACAATTATTTTATCTGACATTTTTGTTAGTTGAAATGGATTGACAAACTGCTTTTATCAATTTATATAGCTGTTTTTACCTGTTTACACAGCTAAGTTCATTTAAGTACTTCATTTAAGGGCTCCTCAGTTTTTACCCAGCACTCATTATCCTGTAAACTGAAACTGGATAGATTGAAGGCCCCCTTCAGAGAATGCAGTCATTTGCTAAATACTGAATGAAAATCTTTTTTTGGGAGTGACATCTGGTACTCATGGGAGAGAGTTCGACGTTACATAAGACTCATATGCTTCTGCTGCTTACAGCAATAACAAGAAACACACCGGAGACTAAATTAGCCGCTTTCCTCAAACCCTTAGCTACTCAATTTACACCTGCTCTTTCCACATTGCGGCAGTTATCTGCAAAGAACGACACCACGGAAAGAGTCTGCATCCCATCCTGTCACCTCGAGTGCCGTGTTTCACGCTGGCCGGCGCACGCTGCGAGTGATAGGTGACGTCTGAGCTTAGGCTTTCGCCCCATCGAGATACCGTTGCCGTGGTTATCGCCATGCTGCGGAGGAGAGCCAGTGCTAGCGCTTTCGTAGCTACCGCCGCTGCGGGGAACGCCATGACGCGCCGCCGCTGTGAGGAACGCCCTTTCCTGTCTCTGTTGCTTCAGGAACAAGCAATGGCTCTGAGGGAAATTTCTAGTGGATGATGGTGAGGTGAAACGTGCAGTATTGTCTGGCCCTGGCCTTTCGAGGCGTCCTTGGGGGTGTTAAAACGGCTCCTCTTCAGTCTGAAGGAAAGCCAACTCGCTGTGCCATTAGTGTGACAAACTTGTAAATGTCTGAGCCGGTTGGGTGTCACTTGACCTTTCTAGTCTGTACATGGGGAAGAAAGAACCGACTGCAGACGCAGAGGGAAGTCAGCCCTCTGGGGTGGGCAGAATCAGCTCCGCAAAGGCGTCTAGGAACTTGCAGTACCCCCCTGACTCTGATGCAGCCAAGATTAATATTCCCAGTAGTGTCTGCATATTGAGTGGCAGCTGACTGCTGGATTCGCCTCGTTTTTGTGTGCGTGATTACGAAAGCCCTACATTTCGGTGCCATGTCAACATGTGTCAACATATTGAGTCCGGAAGGTTCTCCTGTCACCATAAAATATACTGCCTGGCCAAAAAAACAGTCCCACACTTTAATATTTCGTTGGACCTCCTTTAGCCTTGATTATGGTGCACGTTCCTCAATGCATTGCTTTCATGTGCTTATGCAACATCTCAACATTTTTTTTCATCCAGATTAGCACTGATTTCTCGTTGAGCTTTCGTATCGATGATAAGTGTTGTTGAACCACTCCATAAAGTCTAATTCAGCACATCTCAAAGACTTTCAATGGAGTTAAAGTTAAGACACTGTGGTGGCCAAATCATGTGTGAAAATGAATCCTCATGCTCTCCAAACCAGTCTTTGACAATTCGAGCCTGGTGCATCTTGGAATGTAAAATTCATCCTGGAATTTACCCATGCCATTAGGAATGAAAAAATCCATTGATTAGATAACTTGGCCATTCAGTAGTTTCAGGTGCTCAACTGACTTCACTTTACTGCTGCGTAACGTCGCTGAGCTGTAATAATGATCCTGTCATTGGCTCTTAAGTGCTTGCTGATTTAAATTCAAACGGTGACTTTTTTTCCTCGGCCAGGCAGTGTATGATTCCTTTATTGCCATTGTATGATAATGAGGCGCATGAAGATAATAAATTCCAAACCACAAGACCGTAAACATACAACAAGAATTTGCAAAATATAAGATGCAGTCAGTGTTGGGATGAGATGAGATGAGATTCAAATGGGGGATGAGTCAGTGATGCTGCAGTAATAAAATATTTACATATTAAGGTAGGTTTAGTGTGGGTATATACAGATGCTAAGGTGAAACAGGGGCTTATTATGAATATTATTGCGCTTGACAGAGTAAGTGACATATCCAGCACCCTTCAGTACTGCATTAAATGCACCACAGCGTCCATGTGTACAGACAATGAGCAATGGTGCACTGAATCTTTAAAATAAGTGGGCAAAGGCACTGCATACATATTTAATATTAAAAGTGAATAAGTGTGGTGTGTTTTTAAGACAAGAAATGGCTCTGGGGGAAATATCTGTTCCTGAATCTAGCTGTACTGGTATAAGGTGTCTTGTACCTATTTCCAGGGGGTACGGTAATATGTATGAGGCTGGGGGGTGAGTCGGGCCTTTGGAAATGTGGCCTTCTGAGGGTGTTGGGCCTTGCAGATGTTGGGATCTTGTGACTTCATGGGCAATTGAGTAAGCTGCAGTTGATGTTTTACATGCATAAGGAAGAGATTACTATGGTTTTGGGGGTGCAGTGGTAAATAATTGTTGGGGGAGGTCTTTCTATTTCTGACGCATTTGAAAATATAATTGCTGTTGGGCCTATTTTCACGGGAGGGAGGTCCTCAGTCATGTGTGTACTAGGAAACCTAAATATAGGGGCACTCTCCACAGCCACTTCATTGATGTGGGGGGGGGGGGGGTGACTAGACTACTGTTCCAATGTTAACAATTAGAGAAGTATAGAGGACAAGGCCAAGGTCCAGTTGCACGTTACAGCATGTAGGTCCAGGTCATGAAGTTTGGATGCCAGCCTGCTCTGAATGATTCTGACGTTTCCTGATGCACTAAGGCAATGCGTGGTGTGACTGAGGTGACATCCTCTGTGAAGCTACTATTTTCTATATGTAAACTGGCATAGGGAGGGGGGGATGATGGTACAGGAAAGGACAGGATTATGGGAACGAGTCCAACTGGGCAGGAATCGTTGAGGTTTTTACTGGCCGATTGTTTCGGATGACGGTGACCTTGACTTGACTTGAGTAAACTTGAGTTGAGCTGAGCAGAGGTAGGTGGGGACTGAGACCTGTAATAGTAAGAAGCTGAGGATGCTTGTGAATCCTTGGGTACTAATCTAACAGCCTGATTAATCCCTTAACTACACTATATGAACATAGGACACCTGGCCATTACACCCAGAGGAACTTTTATGACATAACATTCTAAATCCATTGGCATCAATATGGAGTTGGTCCCCCCTTTGCAGCTATAACAACTACCACTCTCATGTGAATGCTTTCCACAAGATTTTGGAGTGTGTCTGTGGGAATTTTTCCCCATTTACCCAGAAGAGCATCTGTGAGGTTGGGCACTGATGTTGGACGTGAAGGCCTGGCTCACAATCTCCATTCTAATCCATCCCAAAGGTATTCGATGGGTTTGAGGTCAGGGCTCTGTGCGGCCAGTCAAGTTCTTCCACACCAAACTCACCTAACCATGTCTTTATGGATCTTGCTTTGTGCACTGGGGCAGAGTCATGCTAGAACAGAAAAGGACTTTCCCCCAAACTGTTCCTACAAAGTTGGAAGCATAGAATTATCCAGAATGTCTTGGTATACCTTCCCACACTCCAAAACCTTATGGTAAGCCTTCCCAGAAGAGTGTCAGCTGTTATAGATGCAAAGAGGGACCAACTCCATACTGATGCCTATGGATTTAGAATGTTATGTCATAAAGGTTCCTGTAGGTGTAATGGCCTGGTGACGTAATACTTTTGTCCATATAGTGTATCATCCTGTGTCTATGTTATTAGCACTTGGTCCTTTGTGGTTGGTGTAACCTTGGTGATAGAATCTGTGTTTCCTCTGTCAGAGCAGATGAAGAACCTGTTCACCTATTCAGGAGTGAAATGTTGTCCATGGAGGAGCAGGTGGTCTTAAGAGTGTAGTTAATGATGTACTTAGTACCCAGCCACCAGAGGTGGAAATTCCAGGTCCAGAAAGTAAAAATCCAGACCAAGATTTTGTCTCAACCAACCAGTTATATATAAAGAGTCACAGAGTACTCAACTGGTTGGTTGAAACAAAATCTGGATTCTTACTTTCTGGACCTGAAATTTCCAGCTTGGCTAGCCACATACAGTGGGGTTGGTATTATGGTAGAAGTGCTTTTCTATCTGCTCGTTGTGGCAGGTCTTTGCTTCCCCCTTGTTCAGGACTGCCCTGGCTATGCGGTACCTGCGCGGTACCTGTACAGTACACTTCTGTGTCCTCAGACCTGACAGCTGTTTCCCAGGCAAGAGTTGGATCTGATCCATGGTTCCCAACTGGGAAAGTTACAGCTGTCCTTGCTTACTGCAAAATTATTTATGCCGCAGTTTATGTTGAATAATACTGAGGAAATATAGTCTGTTCTTTTGGAACAGTCCTGAAGGTCTGACGTAGCTCCCTCAGGCCAGACTACCAGTGATATTATGGCTGGTTTGACTCTGCCAATAAGAGGTCTGTAGGCAGGGCTGAGGAACAGACAGATTATCTGATTGGACGACACTTGGAATGTTATTGTATGCCAAGAGACACCACTCAAGGCTGACCATAACACTAGGCTTCAATCACTATCAGATTTCAACTAATCTGATGTGTCTATTGTGCAATTCAGAGTAAGTGTCCAGTTCAAGAGTAGAACAGATCAGCCAGTCCAGTGCACAAGATCCATCAATATAAAAGCAAGACGCTTCCTGTACCTGTGGTCTACCCTTCCTGTCATCATTTGGAAAGGGAATAATAATAAATGCCAGTCCCTGATGTACAAATACTAAAGGATTTGCTAAATGCTAACGATTAGATGAGCAGGCTATAGAAAATGAGGTAGCTTCAGATTACACCTTCTGCAAAATTGTCGCCCCATAACTACGATGCCCTTTGACCCCTGGCAGTCTTGTGGGAACTCAATCCGGATGTAAGGTCTGTACAGTGACACCTGTGCCCCTGGGGGGCCGTTGTGCCAAACAGCCATACAGATGTCACAGGTGTCCCCCGGAGCAGGCATGGTTTTCTCCACTGACCCTGTGACTCCGCCCTGCACCCATATGCTCACGCTGAGCTTGATATCAGCTGTTTGTTAGGCAAATGGGGGCATTTGCATAATTTATTGTGGAAGGAAATCTGTGCTTATAGTGACTTGTTAGTGCGATGTTCAGACAGGCCTGTGCACCATCATCAGCTGCAGAAGCTTTTTAATGGATCTGAAGCAGTTTTTATTTCCAATTTCCTTTCACATGATGCTTGGTTTCTGCCAAGCAGCAGCAGATGGGGACATAGTGACGACACGCAGGACTCCTGATATGGGAAGGTTATCGACTGATGCTGAACACAAACTTACTATTGACTATGTGAACTGAAGGCACTAAATCCATCCACCAATTTTTAAAAAAATCATAACTTAAATGCAATTCCACCTTTTAAAAGATATTCTGTTTCTTACTGTGAAGACGAAGACAGGGAAACTAAAATTTTGCTTCCACAAAATAATCCTTTTAAAGTCTATTTGGTGCATAATCCATCCATCCAGTCCAGCCCCTGATCCTGGTTAGGGTTATGGGGGGGGGGGGCATTAAATTATCCCAGGCAGCACTAGGCACAAGGCAGGGGTGCAACCAGGATGTGATACGAGGATTTAGTACCTAGTTAACCATAAAAATAATTCTAACACAACCATATATAACTAATATGCAAATTCATGTCTATGCAAAAAGACAGAACTGATTATCACTGCAGAATTTCCCCCTGGGATCAATGGCTGCTCTTGTCTAAGATCCACAGCCTCAATAATAGCGGCTGTAAAACAAACATGTGAAGAAAAAAGAAATGTATCCAACAAAAAGAACATTGACAACTAACTCATCCAGCGCCTTCAAAGGTAACCTGTTATCATGCAGCCGCTTATACTATCAGACACTGGTATAGCTGAAGCCCCCCTCCGTTTTGACAGCTTGTGTGATCCCTGCATGCCCTTCACAAAACCAGCCCTGGGGATAAAGTTTTCATATTTTACACTCGTATAAGCCCCATGGTCCAATTACCCCGTGGGGGGAGCCTTTGCGGCCGGTGCTGTCAGGGTGTCACGGCTGCGGCGCGTCAGTCCATTTCAGAGCCATCAACAGAAAATTCCAGCTGCAGGATCAGACATATTCAACCGAATCACCGGAGTTCACCATTTTCTCCCTTCAGATCCTATTATGGGGGATAATTGCGTTTTCGGAAGATATCGATCATCAAATCCGTGCCTCCGTTGAATTGGCAACTACATAACAGACGTCTGAAATTTTAATACAGTGGACATGAGCTGATGTTTTAAGATTTTTTTTTTACCACATGCGTTCATTTATGTATGCAGTTTATAGGCACATGTATGAATACAACGAACTGCACCACCTAGCAATCATGATTTTCTATTAGGAGCTCAAAGGCGCTTACAGGTTGTGAGAAGGACAGGGAGCGGTTTATAAGGTGCCATGTGTTATACAAGTGTTTACCCACATTCATTTGTAATTCTCTGCGTTTAAAACAGACGAGATGATTGATTGCTGGACACCATGGACTTCGTGTGAAGAGTGGCAATCAAGTTGCATTACTAATATGTTTCGCAATGTATGCGCTTGAAACAACTATCAAATTCTGTACATTTGTCAATCTGATGACTCGCATTAAGACATCAAAGGCGGTTTGCTTGCCCCCCTACAATCGAGGCGTTTTCTCGTACGTGCATAATCAGAATCAAGGGAAGTGAACATTTGCAATTGAGTTTGAATTAACCCATATAGGAAAATATGACGATATTTCTTTACCTTTGCGAATGAGCTCATCAATGTCCTGGTCGAAGCCTTGCCGGTGGCACTTGCTCCACAGCCCCATGTTGGTTGAGTTATAACGCCGGCTGCACTCGTCCGCGGCGCTCAGGGCGAACATCTGCCGGCGATCCCGCGTCAGCAGCCCCGTCCCCGGCTCCGTCCGCGCCCGGCTCGCCCGCAGCGGAAGGCTGCTGTTGGAGATGTAAATGAAGCCCGGGTCGTTCCTGCGACTGGAGAAAGTCCGGCATCGCTCCCTATGCTTCCTGGCGTCAGTCTCGTACCAGTGATCGGAGTAGATGGCCACCGTCAGCATGGCCAGGGCGCAAAGAGAGAAAAAGAGGCCGGCGCACAGTAGCGACTTGGCGGCAGCCATGGCTCGCTCCTCTCAGACCCGCATCAGCGCCTCAACGGCGGCCAGCCCGTGTTACAATCCGGGACTGACAGTAAACAATGTCATCGTGGATGCGGTGAGACGTGCAAAGCGGGGTCAGCCCTCGGCAGTATGTAAATCCCGGCGCCGGTGGATTGCCGGTCTTGTGACTGTGCATGTTTGAGAGGGAGGGAGCTGCTGCAGATGCACGGACCCTGACCGCCTGGAAGGATCCCTGTCTCATCCACAGCCATTCATCGCCACTCTATTCCGATCAATCATACTGACACTGTACTAGGTATCTACACGCAAAGACGGGTTTCAGGTCCAATGCCTTCAAAGAATCTCTGCAATGCAAAATGAAATTTATAACCCTCCAGATAAAGACACGTACAGTGACACCTGAACATGATGTTCTGAATATCAAGTCAAATAATCCATGTGTGTAAAGGTGTGTGTGTGTGTGTGTGTGTGTGTATATATATATATATATATATATATACATACATATATATATATATACACACATACACTCACCTAAAGGATTATTAGGAACACCATACTAATACGGTGTTT